AGAACAAGAGCTAGGCTTAAAAACCATTGGAATTATAGGTTTATTACATTTATATTTATCACGTAAGACCTGCACCCAGAGAAAATTTGGTTTGGTGATGAGGGCCCAATAAAGTTTCATGATGAAGGTAATATTTTGAATCTTGAGCTTCTTGATGCCAAGCCCCTCATTTTTTTTTTGTCAGAAGTAATGTAAGCCCAAGACAAAAGATGAGATTGTTTGTTCCCATCTAAAGAATCCCAGAGAAAACTTCTAGATATTTTATCCAATTCAGCTAAGACGTTGTCGAGTAAGAGCATAGTTTACATGATATGACTAGGCAAAGTAGAAAGGACAAATTTAATGATCACAGATTTCCCCATGATATTTAGATGATGGCTTCTTCAATTAGCCAAGCGCGAATTCATCTTATCAAGAAGAGGAGCAAAGGTAAGCTTAGAAGCTTTTTCATGTATTAGTGGAATTCTGAGGTATTTCTTAAGATTTCTTGTAAGGAGAACTCCTAACTCCTCACTAATTTGAGTATCAAGATTGATATTAACATTCTTAGAACAGAATAGTTTAGGATTTATCAGTATTGATTCTTTGTTCTGAGGCACTGTAAAAATTCAAAAGTCATTATTGGATGATCATTACTTGAGATAAAGATGATTCTATAAAAAGTAAAATATCATCAACAAAAAATAAGTGACATATGGGAGGCTCGTTAGGGGTCAACCTAATTGGCTTTCAATCATTTTTGTCAATACTAGTGAGAATGCAATGGCTTAAACGTTCAATATAAAGAACAAAAAGGTAAGGAGAAAGAGGGTCCCTCTGAAGAATGCCTCTGGAAGGTTTCAATTCCATAGACGGCTCTCCATTTTAAAGTACTCTCATCCTCCTAGTAAAGATGGCAGCATAAATTAATTTCCTAAGATTACTATTTATCTTGACAAATTTGAGAGTGTCAACAATAAAGGCCTATGATAGTCTATTGAAAGCCTTTACAAGGTTAATTTTTAGAGCCATAAATCCTTTCTTTCCCCGTTTTATTTCTCATAGAATGAACGATCTCTTGAGCAGTAATGATATTATCACTATTCTGCCTGCCCTGAATGAAGTTGCATTGATTATCACTACTAAGATGATTTATATAAGTGCATAAACAATTAAAGATAATTTTGGTAATAATTTTGTAGCTCAAATTACAAAGAGACATAGGTTAAAAAATTTTCATGCAAGTTGGGTGATTGATCTTAGGGATTAGGGTAATAAACATTTCGCTAATCTTTCTAATAGAATTAGGATCTCTGAAAACCTTTTTGGTAAGATTTATGATGTTATACTTTAATTTTTCCCAGTTAGAGTGAATGAATCCTGTATTGATACCATCTAAACATGGGGCTTTAAAAGCCCCAATATTAAAAGCTGCATTCTTAATTTCATCATCAATAACATCTCTGTGAAAGGATTAAAGATGAATGTAAGAGAGAACAAGGAAGCTTTTGTTAATGGTAAGTTTAGGTTTAATGTTGTCTTCTTCTTTGAATAGGTTTACACATGATTGTGGATTCCACATTATTTACCTCATATTTCCTACATAATAGATGAGAGAAATTGATACAGTCAATTGTACCTCTTCCCTTATTGTTGGAAAGGGTGGTGTTACTATTTCTAAATTTATTCATTTGGATTTTGTTCTTTATGTTCCTTACTTGGCTTGTAATTTGTTGTCTATAAACAAGTTGACTAAACAAGCTTATAATACTCACTTCTTTTTCACTTATTGTATTTCTAAGATCTCTTATTAGGGAAGATGATTAGTAGTGCTGAGAAGTGCGATGGGCTCTACTACCTAGATGAATCAACCGTGAGTAATCTCTAGTTTCATATCTGCTGCAACCTTACATCTACTTCTAAAAATGTTGATCTTTTGTTATAGCATAAAAGAATAGGTCATCCTAATGTCTAGTATTTGAGTTATTTGTTTTCTCAATTTCATCTAATAAAATTTATAATTTTCATTATAATACTTGTAAATTGGCTAAACACCATCGCTCTTTTTTTCCACACTTTCAATATAAACCCTCTTAGCCTTTCTCTATCATTCATAATGATGTTTGGGGTCCTTCGTGTGTCCCTAATCGAACTCATGCTAAGCAGTTTGTTACTTTCATCGATGATCATACTCATGCGTGCTAGGTGAATTTAATGAAAGATAAGTCTAATGTAACATCTATTTTTATCAAGTTCTATACCATGATACTAAATCAACTTCACATATCTATCAAAATTCTCTAAACTGATAATGACACTAAATATGTTAACAAATCTTTAGGTGACTTCTTTAAGTCTTAGAGAATTGTTTGTAAAACTTATTGTGCTAATAGTCTCCAATAAAATAGGATGGCTAAAAGGAAAAATAGGCACTTACTTGAGGTTGCTCATGCTCTTCTTTTCTCCACAAATGTGCCTAAATACTTTTAGGGGGATGTTATTCTCACTATCATTTACGTCATTAATCGCATGCCCAATAAAATATTATCCTACTCTACCCTACTTTAATATCTTCATCAAACACACTCTCTCATTCATCTTGAGACAAATCTTCCTTTGAAGATCTTTAGGTGTTCTGCCTTTGTTCATCTTCACTCATCCTCCAAACTTGAGCCTCAGGCTGTCAAATATGTGTTCCTCTATTACTCCTTAACCTATAAAGGCTATAAGTGTTTTAAGCCATCTTCTAAGATGTTGTTTGTTAATCATGATGTTACTCTTTTTTTTTTTCAAAACATGAATTTTTTTACCTATCTCCTTCAATTCAAGGAAAGAGCTGGAGTGAATTTCAGTCAACCCTTGATCATCACCATGAGTATTCTCTTGTTGATTCTCTTGACCACCCTAACCTTACTTTTCTTAAGCTCATGTCCGCTTCTTGTATGCCAGAGGCACAAGAAAATGCAAGTTCAGGGGGAGACAAGGACACAAGTGCTAAAGGTAAAGAGATTAAAGTTTGCACAGGAAGATGAAGAATAATGGAAAAGCCCCCATACCTAAGGCAATACCAGAATTTGAATTGATGGAAGATTTTAAGGGATAAGGTCTTTGAGAGGAAGATGAGAGTATTAATGAAAACCTTGATATGTGGAAGACTTCAAAGGAACTAGAGGATGACTTGGAATTGTCAATTGCCCTCAAAAAGAAACCTTAGCCATGTACACAACATCCTATTTAGAAATAAAATTCATATGAAGCTTTATCTCTTAATTTTCAAGCTTTTATTGCTAATGTAGATGATGTTAGCATTTCTAATAATATCTATAAGGCAACTTTAAAAACAACAGGATGGAGAGAGGGTCTTAGAGGAAATGAGAGCATTAAAAGAAAATGGGACTTAGTAGATTCTGCAGAAGCCAAGGAGCAAGAAAATAGTAAGTTGCAACTATGTCTTTTATCTGAATGTATCAAGTTGATAGGAGTCTCAATAAGTTGAAGGCTCAAAGGATTCATACAAAACTTTTGGCATTGATTATTAGGAAACTTTTGCTTCAATGGCAAAATTGAACACTACTAAAGTATTGTTGTCCATAGCAACCAATCTTGAATGGCCATTACATTAATTGGACATCAAAAATACCTTTATCAATAGAGAATTGAAAGGAGAAGTCTATATGACTCTACCCCTTAGTTTTGATGAATTGAAAGAAATAATTATGCGGTTTGAAGTAGTCCTCACAAGCTTGGTTCAATAGATTCTTAACTTAAAACTATAAGGCTACAAACAAGGACTATCATATCATACTATGTTTGTTAAAATAGAGGAAGGTAAGAGGTGTATCGTTATTGCATATGTTGATGACATAATTATCTCTGGTGATCATAGTGAAGAAATAACAAGAGTAAAATCTGCTTTGGGAAGAGAATTCAAGGTCAAGGACCTTGTACACTTGAAGTATTTCTTGGGAATGAAAGTTGCAAGATCAAAGCAGGGTGTTTATGTATCCCAAAAAAATTATGTACTTGATCACTTAAAAGATAGGTATATTGGAGTGTCAACCTATTAAGACTTCTGTTGTTATTCTAAAGAAGCAAAAGTCCAAGAAAGAAGCAAGCAAACCTGAGGAGGAGGATGACATTGTTGAGGAAGAGGAGGATAAGGAGAGAGAGAAACCATCTAATAAAGAGAGATAATAGAGACTTGCTGGAATACTCATCTACCTCTCATACACAATACCTGACATAGCATTTACTATGAGTGTAGCTAGTCAATATATGTGTGAACCAAAAGAGAAACACATGGAAGCGACATACAATATTCTAAGGTACCTAAAAGGTACCCCTAGAAGGGGTTTGTTGTTACAAAAGCAAGAATGAAAAACCATAAAAGCATATACAGATGCAAATTGGGGTGGACATCACCTAGATAAAAGATTGACTTCATGCTATTGTTCATTTGTATGAGAAATCTTGTTACTTGAAAGAGTTAAAAGCAAAGGGTTCTCTCCAAAAGCAATGTTGAATTTGAATTAAGGGCATTTGCTCAAGACATAATGGAAGAATTATGTTTGAAGAGGGTATTGGAAGATATCCATGTTCAACTAGATTTAGCACTAAAATTGTATTATGACAATAAGACTGCCATTAGCATGGCCCTGACTCCCATCCAACTTGAGAGGTCTAAGCATGTGAAAATAAATAAACACTTCATCAGAAAGAAGGTGGAAGGGTGGAGTCATACGCCTAACCTTTATACCAACGAATTTTCAAGTTGCAAATGTGTTGACCAAGGGGTTATATAAACTTACTTTCAAAAGTTGTATGAGCAAATTGGACATGATTAGTATCTATAATTCAACTTAAGGAAGAGTGCAGGAATAGTTAAATTAATGCTTAATGCAGAGAGATTTACTCCTTTAAAATAAGGATATAATTAGATGAGATTATGGGAGTTAATATTTTATTTTTATTTGATTTTATTTCCTATATAGGAAATCTTGTAAACTTTATATATGCTTCAACCCTGTGGATAGAATGAAATCGAGATATTCTTTGAACCATAATACTACACAGAATAACGTACTCCTCCCATTTTTACTACTAGTGAGTAGTGAACATAGCGTTCTTCATGACTAATAAGCCATTAGTTAAACTTCACCAGGTATCTTCTATTCATCCCAGTTATAGCTTTGTACATAACCATTCTCATTCTACTTTACTTAACTCTTTGTAAGATATAGTGGGGGACAAGCTGCAATTTCCATTATCAGGTTTGAAATTGACGCCTGAAAAAGGCAAGAACAGAACTGTACACAATGTCCTTGGCATTGATCCCCATAATGAAGTCAGCATGTCCATAGTTTTTTACGAACTGAACACTGAGCTTGTCCACGTCGTGGAGCTTAAGGCGGTCAAGTAAGCTGCCAACGTCAATAACATCGGACAGCGCATCTTGGCCTCCATAGCTAATGAACAGAGGAAGGTCACGGGGGATGTTAGAAAGGTTATAAATCGGAGGCGTTACTTCTCCATAATGCATTATGTTGTAGTCTGGTCTCACGTAGTTGAACTTTTCCAGAACCCCACGTCTAACAGCTGCAAAAGTTCATCACTTTATATCTGCATCTAAAGAAACAGGCTTTGAGCCAGAATCTTTACATGTCTTTAAACTCTCTTTTGACTTACTCTGAGCCAAGTGCACCATGTTCTTTGTGGATGTGGACTGGGGTTCGTTCCTCAAGAATAGATCAACTGTTGAAGAATTAAGACAGCAATTTTTACCTGAAGAAGAAGACAAGTCAGGCATTCAAACATAATGGTCAGGAATCAAAACCCCATAGTTGAGGAGTCATTAAGTATTAGTATGGCTAAGACTTGTACCAGTCAGTGCCGTCAGCAAGTCGTAACAGTCTACGCCAGGGTAATGGCAGAGAGACTTGACAAAGGCAGCAACAGGCAACCTGGTCAAACGATTTGGAGATAGAACATCATCAAATTATGAAGAATCATAATAGTTTCTTTTAACTTAGTTAATAGGATGAAGTTGTATGCCTTCTTGGTTCTTACCCTAAGGGATTAAATTCTGCAAGACCGAACAGGGTGGTGATCTGCTTGACAAAGCAAAAATATTAGCATGAAGGATCTAATTTGTTAGTTTATTTTGCAGATGAAGAACGTGGTTATTGGTTAGATTGTATAGTGTACCTCTCCAACGAAGGCTTTGGCAGCGATAACTCCAAGGGCAGTGTTCATGTGGCTCAAGTAGGCGATGGGGCTTAACAAGGCTGCTGCTTGAAGCTGGTCCACCAAGCCTCCTTCTGAGAATGATGCCAAGGCTACCAAAGTGCCCTGCCAAACGTGTTTCACCCAAATTGTTCACCCAAGCTTGCTACTTTGTTTTTCAGAAATGTCTCAGATTTTCATCATTAAGGGAATAAATCATGTGATAGTGTACCAGAGAATGGCCCACGTAATTAATCTTCTGTCCTGTTTGGCTGAATACGTAGTCAAAAACAGCTGGTAGATCATAGTCAACCAGTTCGTCCCATGACCAATTCCAAAATGCCTGCCATACATTACACAAATGTTTCAATTTCAATTCAGCAGATTAAAATAATGTCTCCGAAGAATATTAAAAAAGATTGAAAAACCAGAGAAAAAACTAGGAACGAACAGGGCTGGATGGGTCCCGAAAGATGTGTCTACGGCTAAATCTGGTTCCTCTTGTATTAGCGATCCACACGTCAAAGCCATTATCAGCAAGAATCAAGGGCAGATTTTGCTCTGGAGAGTTCAGAAGCCACGTCGTCCCATCCTGCGCCCACGATGTCGTATAAGTTCATCAAACCCACAAAACATAGTAGCATTATATGTAATTAAGCTTTTGGTTTTTAAAAAAACAAAAAACAAAAGAAATGCGTATATAAGCATGTTTCTTTAGCCTTAAGACTCAAGAACAAACAAACCTGCCCGGCCATTCTGAGTCAGGGAGACACTAGTAGTGTTGTTTGCTTCACCACGTAAACAGTGAAGACAGATCAGAGGGGTTCTTAAACTTCGAACCCCGAAAGGACCGTACGCTTATGCTGGAGACGGTGCATGAATTTGCGGTCCTGTCAACTTTTTTCAGCAGCTCACTCTTTAATCTTTACTTTCAGATTCAGAGTTAGAGGTGTCATGTATGTGGCTGTGGGGGACCATATATATGACACATTTATTATCTTGGAAACTCAACACTAAACTAGTTTCTGGGTCATATTTCAACTTGAAGACCCATGATCTTGTGTCTGCCAGAAAGGGAGGGCTGAAGAAAAAAAATTTGGGGAGTCGCATCCAGTCTCAGGCATGAAGATTATTATTAAAAAAATTTTGGAGAATATCAGGGGATCACAATATGGATGGATATCCAATGATATTGTTTTCCATTTGGAACATTTGATGAGGAGTGTGGCATAAGTACAAGACGTTTCAAAACCCATGGTAAAGTATGGACACTTCAAAAGAAAAGAAAAGAAAAGAAAAGAGATGTATAATCCTGCGTTCATAATTTCGTATCATGAACGTATTACGTCTCTACCAGTCGTCTGCTAATTATTGGTACCGTTACCAAACTCATTTATTAGGTTGCTTAATTCTAACGGCAGTCTTAACAAAGTCGTCTTCAGTCTCAAGCAATCAAATTAAATACATACATGCGACATTTACAACTCAAAACTGGTCAGTACTGTTACAAGATATCATTATCATTATTAATATTAATTATATATAATATACTCTCTGTTCTTATTTATTTATAAAAAAACTATTACTTTTTACTTATTTTTTATATAAGCAAAATCACATATTTTAATAAACATTTATTATATATTTTTTAAATCACCTTTTATAATTTACATTAATAAAAAATAATTAATATACTTTTATATTGATAACATATGACATTTTAGTTCAATTTCTTTACTTTCAAACATGATTATTATGAGTAATCAATTTTTTTAAATTATATGATATATTTTTTTCTCTTATATATAAAATGAAAGGAGTAGTTAGGGTTAAGGGCCATTGACAAGAAAAATGTAAGTGTAAAAATTAGAAGTAAATTATATAAAAATATTTTTTGTTATGCCAGGTCTCAATTCTCTTTGACTATATATGCATCGGCGAGATCCAATTTTATTTAAACTCAACAAAATAAGATTCATTAATTATGATGACAGGGTCATGATCCCTTTGACTTGAAAAGGGACAGAGAGCACTAGCAGATGCATCACGTGACAGACGCGGAACTGAGCACTTTTTGTCACTTTATCAGGTTCATCCAAAGTCATGTTCACACCGAACCACTTCCACATATATGAGATATATTCTTGGGTGGATTTTCACTTCATCATCCAAGCTTATCAACTACCACGTATACAGTAACTCACAATTACATATTCTCTAGGCCATGTCCAGAAATTAATATACGTAGCCTCTTAGAAACTGAAAAACTGGGATCAACATTTATCATTGGAAAACCTATGTTTTGTTCAAATCTAACGCGGAAACATTAATCATTATTGTATGATATATATGACTTACCACCAGCACTCCGTGTTGTATAATCACAGGCGGCTTCTGAGCACCGCTGCTTCCAACAACCCTGCCTTGTGGAATTCTTTGCAGGCTAAGAATATATCCATCTTTCGTTGTAACCTGTTTATTATGTAGATTGATTAGTGTGATATTCGAGTTGCAGACCATTATGAATGATGAAAGGTTATGAGAGTCTGTAGGTTTAGATCATGAGCGTTACATGAAGCTCGTGGCATTGGTAGCCATGGATGATGACAAAAGAAGCACAGATACCAAGTGATGAAGAAGAAGAAGAAGAAGAAGAAGAATCAGGAACGTGTCTTGCGGTGAAGGAGCCAGTTCTTGAAGGTGATGCTGCGTGAGGCTGGGACGATATGGCTAAGAAACAAAGGCTCAGAGCAGCGAAACCCAGAAGAGCCATGGAGTTTGGAGGATGATGATGTTGAAGTCAGGAGGGGTATTCCTTTATATATATAGGATAAGAGAAGTTATATGAAACAAACAAACATAACAATAAATGGAATATACAGAATGGGAAAACGCCTTTTGTTTATTTGAAGTTGCCGGGGAGAGATTCATGGGCCTAAAGTGGAAGTTTCTCTCATTGCCTGATAATGTCATGTGGTGCGGGCCCTTTTTCTTATCTTGTAAGAAAATGGCAATGGATTTTCAAATACTAATAATAATTATTTTTTTAATATTTCATCATAAAATTTTGATGATTTGATTTTTGGTAGTCCATGTCAATAGTTAGTTATGTTAATGACAATGCCACCTGTAAACTTGAGCTTTAAGATTCATACCCTACATTGGCATGTACGTACATGAGGCGTAATTGATAATTTCAGACCAAAAAAAAAATGTTGGTGCTCAATTGAATAAGATTTAACAGGGACAGGCGGTATGTATAAGATAAATAAAGCAGGATTCAGATTAAGAAAATTTTGAGCTTATTTGAAACTGTTTTTGTTTGATTAATGTTATAAGAACTAGTGTTTTGTAAAATATATTTTGAGAACAAAAAATAATAAAAAATAAGTATTTTTTGTATTCTCCTTAATTCTCAAGAATAATAATTCCAAAACATTTAAAAGATATTTTTGTTTTTTCATTCTCCAAGGGAATATTTAATTTTTTTTCCCTTCAGAACACTTTCTGAAAACACAATGCTAAATAGATTTTTTTTTTCCCATTATGAAGAAGAAAAAAACTGTTTTCAAAATAGATTGTCAAATAAGTCATTTATTTTCAGCAAAACAAAAGAAATTTGCATTATCCATGTATAATAACCAATATTTAATAATGTAACTGCGACCTGACGGGTATGAGTAAAATGTCCAAGATAAATATTGATATAATTACAACATTGAGCTTTAAGTTAGAATTTTTCCTCTTATGTTAAAAAGAAGTACCAATAATTTTTACCCAGAAAAAAAGAACAAGTCCTAATAATTATACCTATTGCCCATGGTTTTTGTTCGGCAAAGAAATTTCAAATTTCTTATGATAAGAAGTCAGATAAAAATTGTCTGATTAAAATTAAGAAATATTTTTATTTTTAAAGTAAAATTGACCAGCTTTATTTTAAAAAATTTGAGTCATCCATATGAATCGTTAATAACTACTACGTACTTCAGCACCATGTGACATGTAAATGTGACGTAAAAGTGATATGTACAACATAAATCCAGTTGTGGTTATGGCAATGTGTTCAATAATATTCAGTAATATATTATTCCATTGTTGTTTGGTCCAAAAACTATTAGTGCATAGTTTTTTTTTTTCCTTTCAAAAAAGAACCAATTTTATTAATTAAAAAAATTAGTGCATAGTTAAAGATTAATTTACTTTATCAGAAATGTTGGGTGTCTAACGTCTACTAACTGATAAATCATTTTCTTTATTTTAAAAAAATTATTATCATTCAAATAAATTAAGTAATTATAATTTATTAAAAATTATAATCATTTTATCTCATATAAATATGAATATTAACACTTTTTGAAAATATCATAAAAATACAAAAATCGACTATAATAGTATTCAATTTTTTTACAAAAAAATTCAATCATAACATTTTTTTTTAACAAAAATTTTAGGTGAGTTGGTTTTTAGGACTTAGAGCAAGGCTTCAAAGAGTATTTATAGATTTATTCACAGATCGCCTATCAAAGTCATCACATTGGTGGAAGGATTTGAACACATCATAACCTTATAAGTTATGGGTTAAATCTTTTTTAACTTGATTAACTTTTTTTTAAAAATAATTTATATGAGTAAGAATTTGAAAAATAATTTTTTATTAGTTTGATAATTAATTTTTTTAAAAAATAACAATAAGTGGGGGTGTAAATGGAAGTGTGGAGTCATCCATTCTCCAGGTCGTTGTTAAGTCTGAACGGGGGAATGGCAAAAAATAAGGAAGGAAAAGGTTCTTTGGCCCAGATTCTCTGCGAGTCTTCAGTCTTCTTTAAACGAAGAATTTTTTTTTTGTTTTCTTTGGTGGAAATTTAATTGTTCTTTTTCTTAGATCTGAAACGGAGGTGTAAAATTAAAGAAATCAAAAGAGGCAGACGCTGGAAAAAAGTTTGCTATAAAGTTACCATTTTCTAAAAGCATCCCATATTCTCATAAATGAAAGAAGTCTTTCGTTTTCCTTTTCATTTAAAATAATACAACATCAGTTTGCTTCTGCCATTGCACGTTTGAGTAGAGTTCATATCTATTGAGCCTTTTCAGATCTGACCCCTTAAAAATCACTGCCAAATGCATCGTAACTTTATTTCAGAAGAAATTGTTCAGACTAACATGGGATTATGGAAGGGGTTTTCTTTACATACATATATGCATGTATGTATTCACATATACAGCATTTGATTAATTTTATATTATTTACAAGTTGTATTCTTTTTTCAATGACAAATTTTTATTTTATTTTTCTTTTATTTTTTAAAAATCTGTGTGTACTTAGTTGTAATTTCAATTTCCAAATTTTTATAATATAAATAGTATGAATCAAGAGCTTTGCTCAAGATACTTGAAAATTATTAAGATATATTTTTTTAAAAAAAAATTCAAAACAATGATCAAATGACTCAATACTTATACCATTCCTCCCAAAAATTTGAAATTTAATATTTTTTAAGTATTATATGATAATTTTTTTACAACCGTCCTATTAAATCAAATCTTTATAATAGTGCCACATGAGACACTCATTGAATAACTATTCTTAAAATATTTATTGAATTCAAATCTTGAAAATAAATATGGTGATTCATTAAAGTTTTTAAATTGTATGTGTTTTCTGACCGTTGAATGTTTAGATGTAAAGTAAAGAAGTTACTGGTGGAATGCTTAGACATGGTGTATTTAGAAAAGATAGAGACCACAAAGATAAGCATGAACGAGTGCTTGGACATGGTGTATCTTGCACGTAATCACAATTTTTATACCAATGTCTCCCTCAAATATATGGAAGCTAAACGCAATTTAAAGTAACATAATCTCCTTTCTTAGTACAAAAACAAAAGTTACGTATTTTTATACATATAGTATTTTTTTTCTTTTTTATTTGTGTGTGTATCCACTCTTTCGCTGGTTGAGGTGAAAGAAAGTGAGAAAAATAAATAAATTCAAATTTATATCTAGGAGGTAGAGTAAAGATTTAAACACAAGGAATGCCAAGATTAAAAAGCATACCTAATATAAAGTTTTTTTTTTCATTTCGGAGGACTAAAATAACAATTATATGCTAAGAATTCTTTTTAAAAAGAAAAAAGAAAAAAGAAAACACTTAGTGAGGAGGCACGAGGGAACGGAATAAGTAGGTTGATAAAGAAAGAGATGGGGCAAGGCATCTTTTGATTTTTGAGGCTTTCACATTCGTGAATGAGTGTAGCTCTGCTCTCTGCTTTAATTCTGTTGTTATTGTGCATTCTGTGTGGACCCTGCTCCTTCACTCTTCACCTCCGCTCAATCACCCACATGGATCCATCCTCCTCTCTTCCTTTATTTCACTTATTTCTTTTATATATATATATATATATAAAATATAAAGTTTAGGTGAATTGAATTTTAAAAACTTATCAGAATTAGAATATATCTTTAGATTCAAAGTGCTTACAATGGTATATACATATTGTTTACTAACAAGGTTCTTATATTAACAGTAAAATTTAATTCTATAACTTTTTAAATTATGAGTCAAATCCTTATCAATTGAATTAATTTTTGTTAGTTTTATTTCAATTATTTCTCTCCCCACTCATTTTTTGCTTCTTCCTTTTTCCCCCCATTTTAAAGGCAACATCCAATCAAAGTTGAGTTTTGCAGATTCAAGTTTTCTTTGTCCAATTTCTGTATCCAGCTTCAAACTCTAAACTCGTGACCATTCAGTGCCTTTTTGTTTATCGTTCCCTCTCTGCTTTCAAAACACAATGAAAATTGTCAGGTGAAAATTACTCCCAATTCAATGGAATCAACGAATCATTTACCAAGTTGTTATAATTGTTAATTTCCTATACTAAAGTTATTAATTATGATGAGAGAGGTTTCAATGGAATTGTTAACAAAAGAAAAGGCTCCCGTTTTCTTATGCATATGATTGGCAAGTTTCAGATACACAATAGTAACAAATTATGAAAAATAACAAGTTGTTCTTGAAGTAACTTTTTATACATGGAATGCATGAGGTGATGCATTATGGAATAAAATGAACTGTTTAGTTTTTTAATATGCACAAGACAATAAATTATTTTATATTTTTTATTTACGATGGCATAACAATTTATGTGACAATAACTCATCCTGAAATAAAATATTAGTGAAAATTCTAGTTTTTATTTGTACTCAAGTCAAAGCAAACTTAATTTATACATATATTCTATGACATAATTAGAATTTACAATGTTTCACTCCAATGCTATCCCAAACCACATGCCATTTAAAAGCACTCGGGATCGGGATTGTAGCTTATCAGTGAATGATTCTGTCAAGTAAATCTTCATATGGAAAAATACGTCGAATAAAAAAAAATACTACTTCATAAGAGATAACCATTTCTAACGATGAATTGGGCCCAGGAAGAAATATTATCACAAGAAAATCTCGTAGCATTTTGACAGGGCATCACTTCAGTCAGAAGTTTTAAATGCTCTCAAAATTAATATTATAAGGTTTCTTTACAGGGAAATGTTAAGAGGTACATAATCATATAATGCCAATTGAGTCGCATATACCTTGTACAGTATGTCAAAGTCACTTCTGTGACAAGACTACAATATATAATCGTGGTCAAGGTTTTCCATTAGCTGCTATTGCAGGACTCATCTTCCTCCTCCTCTCACTAAAGCTACGACATGAAGCCAAGCTCGGAAGGCAGCACTGCACAGACTTACCTGATTTTTCTTTGATGGACAAAGGGTCCTCATTCATGCTTCTTTCACTGCTACACAGAGAGTTAGCCCCTGAGATATATGGGGTACTTTGTGCAGATTTTGGAAGCAAGTCATGCATAGTAGTTTTAACTTCCTTTTTATCGCCCATGTTGTGGGTCTCGGAGGTATTCTTCTCATCCTCAGCCTCATCTTTGTCTCGAAAAAGCTCTACAAGTTTCTTCTTCCTTTCTGTTGGAGATGGCTCTGGCAGTGAACTGGGATTTCTATTCTCAGAAGGGCTTTTCTTGGCACCGGAGTTCACAGGAGAGTGGTGAACTGGAGTGCTGCCCCGAGATGGGGTAAACTCTGCATTAAAAGAAACAGGCAAAGAAATACTACATCTGATTGTAGGAAGAGTTATGATCAAAGAAGAAGTTAAAACGATCTGTAGTTCAACGTGGCTCTGCATTCTTCATGTAATTGTATTACAGTAAGACTGACTATGATAATGATGAATATCTTTCCAGTTCAAATTTGTGTTTCCTTCTGACTTTTCCCTCGGCAATTTTTTTAGTTGTGCACAGTTTGACCTCAAGTCACAGTCAGCACACAAGCACATCACTAAAATCTTTGAAGTTAGGCAGGTAAATACTCTGAGAAAAAATTCGGAAAAAGAAACCATTGCAAGAAATCCTTACCACCATTGACACTATAGAAATCATCTTCACCATCAGAGTCTAACCAAGGCTTGGAATCAAAAAATGTTTCCTCTTTGCCACCTGTCCAGGCAAAAAAAAGAAAAAAAAAATCACATTCAGGTCTTGCATGGAAAAAAGCATGAATATGCAGACTCGACTTGAATGCAATATCTGGGAAAATTAAATCAGAAAAACAATCAAAAAGAGAAAAATAAATTCAACAGACAAGATTCCGTTTGATTTTGAAATGTTACAAACAAGAGATGAAACATAGAGATTGGATATCCTACTTAATCCTTCATATCTTATGGTCTACTATCAAGCATAATTAGGGGCACTCTCTGCACTTCTTCACAGTGCAGACTTTCAGCAATCCAAGAGTTTTGAGAAGGAAGCCGAACCTCATAATTTTATCTTCGTCCCTATTACAAAACAAAATTTGCAATTAACAAAGACCTTCAATCTAAAATCATGAGTCCATGATTCTGAAGGCCTTACATTCTTCTTTGGCAATGAATACCCATCCTTACCCCATTATGCGATCCACTGGTCCGGGAAGACTGAAAAAGTAAACACAATATCCTAATGGCATTTCCATTCACAAAAGAGGCATTCTTCCGTGAGCTTCACTATACAGTTTATGATGCAAAATGCAACAGGCTCAATCATTATAAAATTCTATGTTTTTTATAAAATTAATGGAGTCCATAGATGACGTGGCATGATGAGCCTAGATGGAAAATATACCATCCTTCCCCAGTATACAAAAGTTCCAAACAGCGATCATATACATACCAATAAGCATCTATGATCTATCATCAATGAATGAATCCAACAAGATATCTGCTAGTGAAAACAACAAACTGAAACGAAATTCCCAAGTAGAAAACAGAACAAGTAACAAGGTCAGCCGACACTATCGGGACCAGGGTGCGTGATATTCTAGTATTTTTGTTTCCTAAACACTAAGTCTTCTAAATATTGATCGACAGTGTTAAGAAAAAAGCCTCAATCCAGCTGCCTATAGGATCTATGGAGTTTGAGTTTAATACCAACACATCAGCAGAAAAAGAGAGAAGGGGTTCAATTTATAAAACAATATCTTCAATAAAACTTCTTGGACTGCGTCGTTCCCTCTTTCCAAGGATGCTCCCACTTTGAGGCAGATACTATTAATTATTGCAAGCTTAGCGAGAGGTAGCCACTTATAGCATGCTTAACAGGAGGCATAGCTCTTTGATTAAGTGGGGACGCCCCCTCTTACCTAATAGATAGACTTCCTCTGATCCACGAAAAATATCTCTTGAATGCTGAATAGCTCATTAACTAGATGCCTACTCTTAGTAATTATCTTACAATTAAGTTATTGTGACTTTCCATTTTATTAAATTAAAATTAATAAATTAATATAAATCAATCAATATGAAATAGAGACCATACAAACCAAATGGATCAATAGAAGAGATGATCAACGACCCACCTAGAAGGGACAGCGGAAGGAATCAAACAGAAATAAGCCACCCAATGACCCAAACTCCAAAACCAGTAACAATAAGTAACATAAAACATGAATGACAAAAATCTGGTATACACAGATTGGATTTTCTGAAGCATGTGAAACAGAAGATAAATAAATATCTACAGACCCCGCAACAGTTGAGATCGCACGTCAAAAGAAAAGCCCAGAAACATTTGCAGAAAGATAAAAGCGCCAAGCTTCACGTCTGATGAGAAATATATTGATAAAAGACAACATCTGTATATCAAGATAGTAATTAAAAGTAGAATAACCCTTTAAAACGGCCAAGCAAGACAGAGAAAAGAACCAACTCGTGAACCAATAAAAACATAACATAAATCTTGTGACGATAAAAATTTCAACAAAGATCATATCGCAGTCCCTGAAGAACTTAAGAGCAATACCGTGGACCCGGAAGTTGTCATTGCAGGGCTTTTCCTTGATGGGTGATGGGGGAATCACAAGCTTGTCAGCTTTGGATCCAAGTGACAGTTTGAATTTCATGTCCGTCTCCGTGTTTCTATGAACAGAAGCGCAAGAACCCATTACTCTCTGTTCATCACGAGCCAGGAAAATAGAGAGTAAAGTGGAAGTGAGAGGCCAAGAATGACGAAGTGGAGAGCGGTTTTGGCGTTACAGGGAAGGGTTGGGAAATGGCTTGGTAAGAAAATCAGACAGAGAGAAAAGAGGATTGGGCTTGAAAGGGAAGTTTTGATTGCTCAGAATTACTTCATACTGTATGTCTGTATGGCTGTATCGTATGTGGATTCTCGCTACTCAGGAATGACATAGGTCCCACCGGAAAATAAATATTGTTCTTTTGAATCGGAAGAAAGAGTTGGCTGTCTACAGTTCTTGCTCGAGCCCGTGACCACCAAAAACCGTCCTGAAAATGGAAACGCCTTTTTCCCCTTCAAAGCACGGACTGGGGAATTATTATTTTTTATCTTAATTAATTTTTTATAAAAATAATCCTAACAATGTTTTGCAAATTATAGTTCTAATTATTTAAAAATTGGTTAAAAATTAATAATAAATTTTTATCAATTACAATAAAAGTTTGAGAATTGATTGCCAACTTTAGAACAATTTAGAATCATAATTTTGAATAACTTTGACAGATTTTTTTATAAAATTTATAACCTATCCCTTTATCTCATTTTTTTTTATTTTGTGTAAAATATTGGAACAATGTCTGGTTTTTATAAAATTTGAATTTGGATAGTTTTTTTATTTTTTTTTAGAGAATTTGAGTATGTTTATTAAAGTTGAAATTTGTTTTAGTTTTAAATCATTGTTTTCTGTTGACTTTTCAATATAAAAATTGAAATAAGCAGTTTATAGGAGATCAGTCACTTCTACTAATTTCACGGAGAAAAAAATTGATATAAGTAGTTTGCTTAAAATAAGTGAAATATATATTTTGTTGCTAGATTAGTCACTTCTAACAATTTCACGTGAAGTGGAATTCCCCTGGACAGAGAGTGGGTTGGAAAGAAGCTCCATGTAAATTTAAAAGTAGAAAGTTACTTTTGATATAGAAACTTGTGGTGGCGGATCGATAACTAGTACAGTTAACGTGGGAATTAATACACATGGTGAATAATAATTAATAAGTACAATACAATATTCTAAACGCAATTATTCTCATTCACACCCCTCTATCTCACTTTGAATCCATTCCATAGCACAGCACATGGAATCTATTTATCATACTTTAATTGCCTTTACATTATATAGTGCCAGCTTCCTTCTCTGATAATACTGATAAATCCCTTTATTGTTACTTTTTCCTATTGAAGAACACCACCGAGGAGTGGACGACAAGTTTCAGAATCATATGCCGCACCCAACCGGACAGGTCACATATATAGGTGCGTGTGAATTTTACTAGTCTTGTGGGCAACATAGTAATAAATATTAATTAATAATGAGATTAGGAAACGCATGGGTGTTGCAAAGGGAATATTAATCCGTGGGTGAGTGGAAGGTGGGATAAGATCAACTTGGATCACTGAATTTAACTTTAGCATAGCGACGTTGGGTGGGAATTGAAAACGACGGAATTAACTAACGTTAAGGCGACCAAGTTGGTGCACAAAACGTACTCCGTAATTATTTCATAACTAGCTTAGTTATTAAACTGTAAACTATATAATGGATCGTCCCTTTGCCTGTTGAAGTGAAGATGAAGCATCACGTGGTTGATCACACGTATTACCTAAGCTTAGGCATGTAGATGTATAGTAGGATTGGATGAATCGTGAGGGAGAAGGCACTTATGGGATGTATAAAACCCTTGCAACCAACAAACATTTAAATCAACTGAAATGTAAGCCATTTTGATTTAATCAGAAGTCTCGAGTTTAAATCTTAAGAATATATCTAGTGTGATAAATTCTCCTTAAGGGTGTGGTAGAAGCTTCCTCCAAAAATGAACCAATCTGGTCTTCGTTTGAATTAGTCTGACCTTGTGAGTTAGTGGGTTGGGACATCGGATGCTTTCAGCAAAAACAGAAAAAGAAAAAGCCTCATATATTTCATATTTGAAACCGAAATTATTGAGGATGGCCTGCGTGATGTACCTTTCATTGTTTCATTTAAGAATGCGCCATTCCTGCACGTATATCACGGACTTTGTGCGCTATTCCATTTGAAATTCAGCTTCATTTATACAATATCCTCACCAAACCACTTTCTCCATTATTCCCTTCTCATTTATATGTGTGTGTGTGTCCTTCATCCTTTCATTTGATTTTCATTCATGCATTGAATAAACACACACACATACATAATAGTGCATCTTAGTTTAGACATATGGATGATCCAAGCTATATTATGTGGTTATTTCTATTGTCATGTTAATTAATTGAAGTGACTTTAGGACTCTAATTTGCCGTCCGGTGTACATATATGAACAAATATCACATGATATAGTCTATTAATAAAGTTGAGTGTCTTATCTGGAGAGGATATTAATTTGGCAATGCCACGGCGACATTATTGATCAAATCATATTCACCAACATGCACTGTGCAGACACGTGTGTGATCCATTTAAGAAAATGACATGGAAGATTGGTCAATGAATCACAATAATGCTCCCTCCGTTTCTACATATACCTTGTCTTTTATGATATAAAGTTAGTTAGTCCAATTTACAAGGCATGAGATATTAAATGAATTTTCTTTTTTTACCTTGTAATTATAATAATGATCTCATTACTTAGTACGATTATATTTCGCAAAAGGACGCAGATGAACAGGGGTATTATTAAAATACCGTGATGTTTTTAGACCAAAAAAAAAAGTCATCCAACAACTCTTTTTAATCTACGTGGAATATATCTGAAATATCCCAGAACAAGGACGGAAGGAAGTAAGTACATGTCATAATCATTTGTCGTAAATCATATTAATTCTTAATATCTTGTTAACAATAATAAAGTGAGTGATATAAGTCAAGGTATGGGTATGGGGAGAAATCAATATTAAGACCAATATGTTTATAGAAATTATATTCCCTCCTCCATTTTCAAATATATGAAAATTTCAACAAACTTACACAATTTAAAAAAAAAAGTTAATAATTAATAGTTAATATTTAATCATAATAATTATGTTTGAAATTGAAATGTTTAGACTAAAATGTCCTTGCAATTAATGATACTATCTATTTATGAAAGATAATTTAAAGAAAATATAATTAATGCTTTTTGAAATTTATAAGTTTATTTATAATAAAAATAAAGAAATATAAAGTATTTTTTTTATATTTAAAAACAGGGCAGCATATAAAAAGACCGGAAATCATGTAATTCACAACTTGTGAACAATGCAAGATTTTTGTTCTAGGATTTATGTCATGCCTATTTTGAGTGTCTTTGTGTGATTAATTAGAGTGGAGTCCACATGTAATTAAGAGTAGAGAAGGGAATCCGTAATTGAGAGGGGAGATTGATCGGCTTGGCCTGGTTGGAGGACCATAGGGATGGTCGGCAAGGCAAGCATGTCGACGCACGTGCGGAGCCGCTTCCCAACAATTAATTTTTAAACATAATTTAAACAAACAGTTACTCCTTGATTGACTCCGTAAAGTTTTTATGTCTCATTCTCATCTCATATCCCCTTTTAGCTTCGTCACGATTGGACTTTGAGAGCCTGATCCGCTGCTTGACCTTCTCGTGGATAATTTCTCTCCAACAAACCACTATAACTGTGTGTTGTTTATTTTTTTGTTTTCAGGCAATTATTACTTGTTTTGGGGTGCTTAGTGGGTGCGTTAATTGAAAGCAACAGAAAATTGATGTGAAGGCACTTAACTGCTCGACAACAAAAAGAGAGGCTTCTAATAATGGAACCTTGTCCTGTCTCTACCTGCCCGGGGAGGCCACATCCATCCCCCCATTTTTCTCCAATTTCTTCTTCTGGTATGGTTCTTGTTTCATATCTTCTCCCAATTATTATTTGATTTTCTGAGTGTCATCCTCAGAATTTTTTATATCCTACGAGATTTTTCCAACACAAATAGTATAATTTTTATTCAAAAAAACATTATATTTGTGATTTAAAATTGACATAGTTCATACTTCCATGTCAGCTCTGGAGCTTGTTTGTTCCAAACTCATATTGGGCCACTTCCTCTTGGGGTGAGGCTCGGCCCTGTTTTGGTTTGTGAAACGACATTGCCATTAAAATGCCATGTGCTTTATTTTCTAGTTAGAAAATTTAAAAAAATAAACTTAGAATAGCAATATTGGTCACTAATGTTGTGCTTGGGCAGGAGAGAAAAGTGAGGAGGAAATAATTTTTTTTTTTTTTACTTGGTTATGAAGAGAAAGGTGAATGGGAGAGAAAAGTTGGAAGGAAATAACATGTAGAACCCATATATTTTTACTTCAAACTTTTCTCTCTAAATATGGAGAGATTTTAGAGAAAAAATTATATTTTCAATTTTACTCACCAATTTTCAAATTTGATATTTATAATATAGTTACATTTTAATCATGGACTTTTGTTAAACAAAAAGTATATTTAATTTTTAAATTAATTAGATAAATGCTAATTCTAATTTTTCAGCGAAATTTCTTATATTTGGTTGTAATCTCAAAATTTTAAAAATTATATATTTAATAATTTAATAAATAAAAGAGTAAATTAGCCCAATGGTCATAAAAAATATAGTTCTCATAAATTATAGATGAGGTTTTTAAATATTTTAAAATATGGCTCATTCATAAAATAAATATATTACTAAAACGCTTTACATAAACAGGTTCACAAATATATCTCCTATAGCTAACTAAATGATATTAATATTTAACTAACTAAATTAAATCCTTGCATATACATCCATCATATCTCTCCTTCTTTCACAATAATTCCTTCCCTTTTTTGGTGGGTGGAGGAATCAATGTGATATTTACATATTGCTTTATTGTTGTCCAAACAAATGCACTCTCCTGCAAGAAACGTCCCAACATGAATAGTTTAATTTTGTGCCTTTGCAAACAATTCTCGTTGCTAGACTTCCTTTGCCCAAAGATGGATATAAACCCAGAAGTTTCATTGCATAGGGATATTTGATTCTTTATGATCAGTTAAGATGTCCAAAAAATTTTTATGACATATGTTTGACTTATTTTGGGTAAATAATTATGTTTTTTTTCGTGTTTCTAATCCACGATCGTATATCAATGATATACAATTATATATTCTAATAAACTATATCAGTAAAAATTTATCAACATCATTTAATTTTATAGATATGAAGATGCTTAATGTCATCATTTTTAATGATGGAAAAGAGATTTATTAATTTAGGTATTTTATTATCTGTAATAAGTTAAGATGTACAAAAAATTTTACAAACTATGTTTGATCTATTTTGGATAAATGATTATATTTTTTCATGTTTCTGATCTATGATAGTTTATCAGTGATATATAATTGTATATCACTAATAAACCATACCAATAAAAACTTATCAACACCATTTAATTTTATAGATGCGGGGATGCTAAATCTCGTCATTTTTTTTCGAATGAAGATCAAATGAAGCTTTCTTCCGTCTTTAAGTATTTGAAAAAAGGTTTTTGTCAAAAAAGTATTTAAAGGAAGGTCACATTATTTGCAAAGAGAATAATTTTGTCATATAAAGATTAACTAAATATTAAAATAATCATAATGCAAAATATAATAAATATTGGGCTGTTTATTAAATTTGGTTTTATAAAATGGAATGTATATGCAAAAACTGCTAAATAAAATTATAAATTGGATAAAATAATTTTTGTTAATATTGGATAAAATAATTTGCAATTATGTTTTTATTCCATCAATAATATATGATAGAAATTATTATTATTATTATATATATAACATGTTAAAATACTAAGTTTTATTATATATAAACATTTTTATAAATAATAAAGTTATTATTTTTTATATAAAATTAACAATTCTTTTCTCTTGTTCAGCCAATCATAATAGGAAAAAAATTACATCCTTTCACCTTTTTTTTTTTCCTTTATTTTCTCTCTTTCTTATTTTTTGTTCGGAGTCAAACACGGCAAGAGAGGTAGGTTCTTCTATATGCGTTAAAGCATTGATTAATTAAACAAGACATGGCCTTATATTTTGTACAAAGTCTGGCACAGGTTTCATTATTTATTACACACTGCAGTGTTACGTAAATTTAATCAACTGAACCCTGGATGACGGGAGCACATTCAGCACCGGTGCTCATCAGCCATCAGTCATCACCTTGATATCATCTGAATCGTCTATATTACAATTTTGATATTCCAAATTTAAAGATTTTTATTTTTATTTTTATTAAAATATAATTTTTTATTATTAATCTGGGTTGTTTAGAGGAACTGGTTTTAGTGCTAAGTGCCCTGATGAGCACATCAGGGTGTTTAGATCTAGATTAAAGATTTAAAAATTTTATATTTTACTTTTATTAAAATAAAAATTATAAACTTTTTATAAATAAAAAAATTAATAAATTTATTTTATCACTAATTTAGACAATACAGATTTAATTTAAATGATCTAAATACTGATAATTTTTATAATTGATAGCAAAAAGATATTTTTTTAGAAAAATGTTGTGAGTAATAAATTTTACATATAAATTGTTTATAGTACATCTACATGGTAAATTTAATATTAAATTGGATAATTTAGATTAAATATGTATTATTTAGATTGATGATAAATAAATTTGTTAAATTTTATATAATTTTTGTTTTAATAAAAATAAGAAATAATGATTTAGATCTAGACCATCTATATTAAAATATGAACGGTCCACTCGTCAAGGTGCTTAGCGCTGAAATTAGTTCCTTGTTTAGATTGTTCAAATTTAATATTATAATTTATAATTTTTATAAATTTTTATTTTGATAAATAAAATATTAAAAATGAAGATAATTTTCTAACTGACACTTTTCAATTTTTTTAAAATACGAGCCAAGAGTTTTGAATCTGAACTATTCAAAGTAAATTTATAGATTCAATTTATAAAAATTAAAAATAATAATATTAAATTTGAAAATCTTGACTATTCAAATTATTTAAAAAATGATGAGCACTTTGATGATCACCGGGTGTACTTCCCTCAATGTGACATGTTTTGATGGAATTATATCTAAACGTGAAACTGAAGAAATTGGTGAGAATGACCAAATGATAAAATTATTTCGGTAAAAAGAACCAAGATCCTTCAAGTGAATTAAGATTGAATGAGAAGTTACTTGAAGCACCAAGAACCTTAATTCACTGAAGGACGCTGGTCTTTTTATCCAAATAAATTTACCATATGGTCCCTTTCAAGCAATTTTCACTTGAAAGATTTTCATTCTTTCTGTCACTCCAATAAAACTGTAGGGTCAAAAAAACAAAGCCGATGAATCTCTAATTTTCATATCCAACCAGTGCCAAGAAGTAAGAACAGTGATAAGCACTTGTGGTCACGTGCATGAGCACGCTTTATTATGTACTTTTATTTTTTTTTTGGCCAAACGCTTTATCATGTACTTCCACCCCTTTCCCCTTGTGCTTGGATCCTAATGGAAAAATGTGCGCGTTGCGTAGTTATTCGCTTTTTCACGCTCAAGTCATCCCGTACGTCAACTGCATTAGAAGCTCCGTCTTCGAAAGCTGGTCAAATAACCGTTAACCTGCTGCGTCGTAAAGCTTTGTGTGGGGTATTGGGTACTGTGCTGCGATTTTCAGGGAATTGCTACTGAGTTCTCAAGTCTTGAGGCCGAGGTATTTCGATCATGACAACCACTTGTTTCCGACTTGCGTAAACAGTAAACTCAGATAAAGTTTTGTTTCCTTTCACTCTGTGGGCTCTTTAAAAAAGAAAAAAGAATGACTCTTGTGTCTCTAATCTTGAATACCCCAAAATTACTTTTGACTTCACTGAACCCTAGTAAATTGTCCTAGAAGTTACAAAGTAAGGGTTCTGTGGATAGGATTTGAGTCGAGCCATTTACTAATCCCAACGAAACTACCGACTCAGGAAGCGTTTTGTGTTTTGATTATATTCCAAGTTCTGACCCTCCTTTACTTCAGAAAGAAATTGCATGAGTATGACCTATCCATCCATACCCTTCCTTTTGGCCTCTTCTTTCATTGTCCATCTTCGTCCTTTTCACTGTCATTCCTATGTATTCATCCTGATTACGTTATTCATTCATTGCCTTCTCAACTTTTGATGCTTCCGAAGTCCACCAAGATCTTTAAAAGTCTGTTTCTGCAAAGTGGTGGCACTGTGCTCTCCCTGTAGGCTGCTTTTGCTTTATCATGGATGGAGGAAAATGCAAAGTACTTGAATTGAAAGGCTGCATCATGAAACTTAGCTGCACATCTTTCTCAACCACCTGCCATTCTTGTGACATTAATGAAGTGCAAAATGCCCAGCCTCCTAAATTTTCACTCAGATGAGGTTCTTTTTAACCAGCTTTATTCTTCGAAAACAAACAAGAAAGGGATGCCAGCTAAGAATATCTAGAAGCTTATCTCTGTAATATTCTTCGTATGAAACAGTGAGCGTGCCTAGACTAGCCTACTCCGCATTAAAGCATGACAACATTTATGACTCGGTACATGATACATGCTTGTCACGAATTATATTATTGGACAGTAATTCCTGTTCTTTTCTCCTTTTCTCCGTGTAGACTCTTAATCTCATCTGACTTTAACTGCAAATTGTTTTAAATAAATTCAGTTCTTTGATATGATAACTTTACAATATTTTATTGGTTATACTCAATAAATATTCACCCGCAGCTATCAACAATGAATGTTCCTCACATGTTCTGGTAGGACCATAACAAAGGTCGTAGAACCTCTAAGTAAGTTGAGACTTGAGAGTGGTGGCTATAATCACAGTCAAAATATTCAAAACAAACTTTGTTGTCTCCAAGAAACCAATCCTTGAAACAGCTTCGAAAAAATTTATTACCCTTACCTTTGTATAGATCCGAAATTTTTGCTCTCCAAGATTGAGAACAGGCTTTTATTATTATCAATAGGCCATTCCATGATGGAGCTGAGTGGCCTGGGGACTGGGGCTGAGTAAAGATGATCATAAGCTCCACCTGAAAGCTTCTTCCTCTGTTTATTTGTATTTGTACTTCCACCTGGAAAAGACCTTATGAATTTCAACACATCATTCCCCAGACGTGTCTGGATATGTTTGCAGTGGAAATGAGTTTTGCTCACTCATACTTTTGGTCTCTCTTCAACCTGAGCTTTTCACTCGAGAATCAATCGGTTCGTGATTTCAGAAGCGACCGGGTTTTGTGCAGATAAAGAGTCCCTCTCACAGTTTCATCCTCTGTCACCCTGTGATCTTGATGTTAAACTCAGATTGCTGATCCCATTGAGATATTCCTGCTTATTTTTTTGACGGAGTTACTCAAAAACCAAGATATTCGTTCACACCTGTCCGGTAAGTGAAGGTGATACAATATCTAATTTTACTTCCAAGTTCAACTTCTACAGAAGCTATTGCTTTCGTAACGCATCATCAACTGAAAGCCTTGCTCCATTTTTCTCTATTCTACTCAATGGTTAGCCTATTCTTGCTTCTCTAGCCAAACCATGTATTAGTCCACTCGAGAAATCAAACATGTGGAACACTGAACTCTGTCTTAGTTTAGCTGGGGTTATACTTGGAATTTGCATTGCTTTTGCAGCAGCTTTCCTTGTAATCAGATTGAAGAACAAAACGGAAGAGAATGGGATTGGGAAAGGAGACTTGGAGCTTCAGCATCTCAACCTCAGTGTAAGAACAACCTGCGACAAGAAGGTTTCTTTTGAGGGATCTCCTGACACTCTCAAAGGGAAAATTATTGAAACCACACCACGCAAGATGCTCCTGGAGACTTACACTGTTGAAGAGTTAAGGAAAGCAACTGAGGAGTTCAGTTCAACTAATCAAATTGAGGGATCTGTGTTTCATGGCCGTATCAATGGGAAGAGCACGGCAATCAAGCGCACAAACAGAGAGACATTGACAAAGATGGATTTTGGACTCTTCAATGAAGCGCTTCACCACCACCCCAACATCCTTAAACTGCTTGGCACGTGCTCGACGGAGGGTCCTGAATCGTATCTTGTTTTCGAATTTGCAGAAAACGGGTCTTTGAAAGACTGGCTTCACAGTGGGCTGGCCATCAAGAACCAGTTCATTGCTTCCTGCTATTGTTTCCTTTCATGGAGCCAGCGACTAAGGATCTGCCTTGACGTGGCCATGGCTTTGCAGTATATGCACCACGTGATGAACCCAAGCTACGTGCATAGAAATTTGAAGAGCAGAAACATATTTCTAGACGAAGAATTTGGTGCCAAGATGGGAAATTTTGGGATGGCAGGTTGTGTTGAGAATGACCCTGAAGACCCACTTTTGTATTCAACCAATCCTGCCTCTTGGAGCCGAGGCTACTTGGCCCCTGAATACGTGCACCAAGGTACAATTTCCCCAAGCATTGATATTTTTGCTTATGGGGTAGTTTTGCTGGAGATACTATCAGGTCGACCACCCATAAGCAGGCCCGATGAGAAAGGAGAAGGAAGCATTTGGCTCACGGAGAAAATCAAGTCCGTGTTGAAGTCAGAGAATGTGGATGAGCTAAAGGAGTGGATGGACAGTGCATTGGGTGAGAATTACTCTTTCGATGCAGCTATCTCAGTGGCAAAACTTGCAAGATCTTGCGTAGAGGAAGACTCCTCTCTGAGGCCGAGTGCTGGGGAAGTTGTTGAGAAGCTATCGAGATTGGTTGAGGAACTACCTGAAGAAGAGGACCACTTCTTCTTGTCTGAAAGCTCAACCAAACCTCTGGTCAAGACGCCTATAAACAATCAGTGCAACGTGTTAAAGAAGCCAAGCGAGTAATTCAGTTATGGTTGCTCATTTATGTCTCTTTGGTTTGATGTGAAACAGAGCAAACAAAGAGTCTCAGGGGAAAAATGATTTTCTGATTGGTCCAAAACATCTGCATCTAGAGTTCGGAATTAACTAGTGTCTTTCATATTAACTATGCAGTTGTCGTTGGGTGTTTTCCTCAAACATGTAACTAGCAAACAAATCATAATAAGAGACAGACACTCCAGTTTTCTGCTAGTGTTCATCAAATACTGACATCGGAATCATTTTATTAATGTAACTAAATAACCAATGGAATTTAATTTACAACATCACATCATCATGACTCTGAATTCCTCAAAACTGAGAACACCATCACCGTCGAGATCAAAGCGAGAGATCATAAGTTGGCAGTTATGCAAACTCATAGATTGACCCAACCTACTAAGCATCCTCTTGAGACTATTAGGGGTAATACAGCCAGACCCATCCATCTCATACATTTTAAAAGCCTCTCGTAAGCCCTTCACTTTCTCTTCCTCTTTCTCATCTTCCACAAACGTAGCAAAATCCTGCAAATCCACCAACCCATCTCCATCCACATCCAGATAAGCCACCAACGCCTCCGCCTCCTCTGCTGACAGCTCTCCGCCCATCGCCTCCACACGATGCCGTAGCTCCGACGCCGATAGCTTCCCGTCTCCGTTCTCGTGAAAGTGCTGAAATACACGTTCGTATTGATTTGACTTGTCCATAGTGGAATCAAAATGTATATGTTAAGTTAAACAACGATTGAAGCGGACAATGATGGTAGATAAAGATGTATAGAGATATGGAAGAACAGGGAGTGAAGAATGAAACCAATACGATGATTGCTGCTCAGGACAACGAAGAAGGCTGCGTTATTGTATATATAGGAGTGAGAGTTTGAAATGGAAAGAGTAATACGGTGTGGTCGCGTGGCGTGGGTTGAACACGCTGCCTGCTGGACCGGGTAAGGCTCCAGGATCACGTTAAAAAAATCGTTGACTCAGGGTGGTTCACAAGAAAATAATGAAAATGACTAATTTTTTTCTTTTGACCAAGGAAAATAGACTAATTTATTAACTAAAGCATTTCATATTTTTGGGATGATGAACCTGCATGGAAGGACATGTCATATTTCCTCTCGTATAAGAAAAGTCTAAAACACGCCCGTATGCTAAAGGTTAGTACTAGATAGAAATATCAGAGTTAAAATCTAGAGAATAACAAACAATTGAGAAGTCGAAGTCTTTATAAAATAACAACCCTAATTAATCCCCCAAATCAAAGCACTGTTCATCATACTGAAATAGCAGATTTACAAAGATATACTTTTCAATTTAGAAAAAGAAATCGATCGAACATCTCTTTAACAGACCGGCTAGTCGAGTTTGGGCGAGTTTAAGGGATGCTAATACAAGATGAATTAGTTTGGCTTAAATATAATTCAGAGGGAGATAAACACAGAGTTCCAGCTATCTTTGATAATGTCACCTATGACCCACTCAAGATTGAACACGTTTGACGTTGTCCGTCTAACGTTGTTGAAATTAATTAAAAATTTCAATCGTGTCGTTTTTTATTCGGACTGGAATTTGGAATTAAGACTCCTTCGTAGTTGGAGTTCGACGTGGAAAAGTTTGTTTTTTTTCTTTTAATACAAGCACAATAAAAACCGTGCAAGGAGATCAAGATCAAGTTGTGTTTCAAGTTACAAGACTTTTACAATTAGTAGGTGAATTATCAAATAATCTAATACCAAAATTCTCTCCCAAAACCTTGTGAGTCAAAAAATTAGCACATCTATTTATTTATTTTTTAAACATGATCAAAAGTAATTTCTCAATCCTTCATTGTGCGATTTTTGATATTTTCAATAATTATTGAGAGACAATGGCTATTAGAGGAGTTGCGTTCAATGAGTGACAAAGCTTTTATAAAATTTGAGTAACCATTAATTTTAAAAATCTTAGCATTCTAACAATGGTTTAGTCTTTTCAATATCTTTATAAGCTCAGGTGTTGTGTTGAGTTGATAGCCAAGATTTTTGAAAAGATTTTTAATTTAATTACCCTTGTCATTTTTTATAATGCCTCTACAAGCAGTTACACCATTAAAGTTGATAAAATTGTCAACATTTAGTCTAACACACTCAAGATTTGGTGAATTCCATCTACCTTCATATTTGGTGTCAATTTTGCTTAAAAGGTTGTGTTTGGATTTAAACTTCATATCATTGATAATTTACTAAGTGCAAGAGAAGACAATGTCATTATTCAAGACTACATCTTCAAAGTAAATTTTATTATATCTAACATTTCATATATTCCAACAGTGATAGGCAAAAAATCTTTGTCAAGGCAAATTTCTTTGTAAACAGGTAGCTTGTTTTATTTTTAACATTTTAAATCATCTAATCCTATATAAAAAGAAAAAAAAAATATTATGAAAAAGTTCGTGTTTAGTCGCAGCATGACATATCTCATCTCACAGTATTGTAAGGCACATCAAAATACTGTTTATTTACAATATTTTGAATGGTGCATTACAATATTAAAAAAAATTATTAAGTTTTGAATGATAATGTGAGATCCACGTTATTAAAAGTAGGTGTGGGGCTCATAGTAAAAGATATATATAAAGATAAGACTTAATAAACATGATAAATATGATTTTAAAAAAATCATAAATATAAAATTTGCGATGAGTGTACAAATTTAAGTTTAAAAAATGTAAAAAAAATGAAATGTTTATATTTTGAAAAATCACATGGGATTCATTACAAAAATAATAGGCGTATGATCTATACTGAAAAATGATAGTGGAGATAAGACGTATAATAAAAATAATAGGCGTCGGATATGCAATAAAATTATAAATTTGATTTAAAGGAAAGGTCAAAAAAGTATTTAACTGACTGAATTTTTTTTGAAAATTTAATTTTAATTATGTGGGGATAAAAATCACTAAATAATAAACTATTATTTATGTTTTGAGTAAAATATATTATTAGTTCAATTATAAAAAGGATTTTTAGGGGACCAACAGTAAAAAAAATATAATAGAGATGAGGCTCAATGAAAATTGTAAATATGAAATTTGTAATGAGATTAAAAATTTAATTTTTAAAATTAAAAAAATATAATATTTTAATATTTCAAAAAATCACCTGGGATTCATAATTCATTATAAAAATAATAGGTGTAGAATCCACACTAGAAAATAATGGTAAATATCAGACTTACATAGTAAAAATAATAGATGTAGAATATGCAATGAAATTACAAATTTAATTTAAATGAAAGATAAAAACTAAAAACTAAATTTTTAATTAATTCAAATTTTTAGAAATTTAATTTTTTATTATATGGGGATAAAATTACGTAAAATAATAAATAATTATTTATATTCTAAGTTAAATACAGTGAATATTAATTTTAAGGAACATTTGCGTGAATTTAAAAAATTTAAGAGAAGTATATGCAGTTGTGTTAAAATAGAAAAGATATCAATGCAGTTGTGTTATTATTATTTTTTTCGGTCAGGCATTTTACTCTTATAGTTTAAATATGCATGAAATAGTAAATTATAAAAGTAATTTATGCATAAATAAAACAAGTTGGCATATATTTTCTTATTATCACACATGTTATTCAAATTTCAGTATGCAAAACAATATTTTTTTTCCCTTCTTGATGCCGTAAAAAAGTGTAAGGCCCGTTCAAAATTGATCATAGACATAAGATCCGTATTAAAAAAAAAATGATAGGTATGATGTCTACAATAAAATTATAAACTTAATTTTGACAACATATAAAAAATACTTATATTACCTTGTGAGATTTTTTTAAAAAAATTTAATTTACTAGACATAAAAATTCTAAATAAAATAATGTGTTATCATTATTATTTTTAGAGTAGATAATTTGAGTCAATCCAAATAAATTTAAAAAAATTTAAGACCATGCTTAACTAAATAACATATTTTTTATGTTTGAACTTATTTGAGCTGATCCAAATATAATTGATTTACATGCTTCTAAAAAATTAATTTGTAAGCTTTTAATAATTTTCTTCAATGTTAAATTAAATTCCTATCATTTATTTTGTTTCAATTGAGCTTTTATAGTTTGATCCATTAGATTTGTTAATACTTGAAAATCCTTGAATTGTTCATTTGAAAGAAAAAATAAAACTAAGCACTTTAATATTTTTATTAGATAATCATATAATTTTAAAATTAATTACATAATTTTATAATTAAAAATTAATATAATTAGGTTATGTCTTCTAAGTAATTTTTACATATATAGAGTTTTTATAAAAATTTAATAAAAAATATAAACATTATAATAAATCAAATTTTTTGTAGACATCAAATGTGTTTTGGTTTTGAAAAAATAAATCATTAATAATTTTAACCTTTATAGATAAATATATATTAAATTATAAGAGCTCGACTCAAACAAAATAAACTACAAAGTCCTAATTTAAAATTGAAAAAAATTGTAAGGACTTAAATTGATTTTTCTTATTTTTATGATAAATTATTTATATTTTTTGATATATGCATATAAGAGTGACACTGACACATTACAAAATAAAAACTTTTCCATATATTTTATTTTCCACAACCAACACTTTCTAAAATAAAATAAATTATTATTTATATTTTTAATTTGTATTTGTACAATAAATTTTATAGTAAATTAAGTTGCTGTTTAGTTTAAATTTAATAGAATATGAATATACTAAATATTTTTTATCCTTTAAATATTAAAACATCCCCGTGAATGCACAAGAATAAATCTTGTTTACTATTATGCTTTGTGAAAGTCAGATTATTCTGACGCTATTTCTCATCTGTGAACATTCAATTCCGACATTTTTAAATTTTTCATATATCTCTATGTGAAGTTGCATATAGAATGGGGAACAATCAAAAAATGCACAAGGAGAGGAACAGTAAACGATGGTGAGTGGAGTGCTTGGAAGTATTAGAGGGTCTGGAGGTGGTGAGGGAGGTGCTAGCAGTGGTGGAAACGAGAAGGGAGGCAGAGATAAGGCTGGTAGGTCACATACTGGTGATCCACAGTTTGTTTTCATGGCGAATAAGGATTAGGTTCGTAAGGAGAAGGGGATAGTTCAGCCAAAAGCTCCTAAGTCATATAGGGAGTCTTTACTCAATTTGAATTCCTCTGGTTTCTTATCATGTAACGGGCATAATAAAGACCTTTTGAAGGGTTGGAAAGGATATTTTGCCAAATGTAATGAACAGGAGAGGAAGCAGCATGGTGACTTGTCTGATAAGGATTGCCAGGTTCTGGAGGCTAATCATGATAGGAAACCATAATTGAAGTTCACACAGGCAGAGTATGAGCAATGGTGTTGTCCTTGGCTGAATTCGTTAATAGTTAAATTAATGGGTAAAACTATCCCATTAAGATATCTTAGGCCAAGGTTAGTTAGAATGTGGAGAATTCATGAACCAATGAGAATTACATCACTCAGTAATAGGTATTTTATTGTTTCTTTCACAAAGCAAGAAGATTTGGATTATGCTTATCAGGAAGGTTCATAGATGATAGATGACCATTACCTCCTAGTACAGAAGTGGCGACCAAATTTTAATTTGTGGAAAGCAGATGCTCAGAGAAGGATTGCAGCTTGGATCAGAATTATGGATTTATCGGTTGAGTTGTATAATGTGGAATCACTGAGACGTATTGCAAACATGGTTGGAAGGACCTTGAAGATAGATTTATCAACTTTTATATCAGATATGGGGGCATTTGCATGAATTTGTGTTGAGTTGGATTTATGTCAACCTTTGCTTCCATCCTTTACGCATTTTGATGAGGATATGAAAATAAGATATGAAGGATTGCACCTTGCGTGTTTTCATTATGGTAAATATGGTCATCACAAGGATGTTTGCCCAGAGAAAGTCGTTACTTTAAAATGAGAGAATATTGATATGATTGAAAAGGTTGGTGAAGCGGATCAAAAAACATCTACAAGTAAGGAAAGGGATGAGTTCCAGGCTATTTCTGAGGAGACCCCTGTGAGTAATGCTGTGCCGATAATGGAAAAAATTAGAGAGATGGAAAGCACGGTGGTCAGAGACAGATACAGACTGGAGATGCTAATTAAGCATCAGTTATACTGGAGATATGGAGTTGCAGATTTGAAAGGACTACAAGATGGAGATGCGAGCTTGAAGGATAGAGAGAGGAGGAGGCGAGAAAAAAAGAGTGCAGATTGTATCAGGTGAACATAAAAGAGGCGATCATGGAGGAAAGAATCAGAAGATTAGAGGACACTGGATCTTCAGCAAGGAGAATAAAAATAAGAATTACTCAAAGTGGGTCCCGGTCGATGTAAAACATAAGGGATCATCAATTATGAAAGTCAAAAGAAAAGAAAATACTCCTCCTGTTGATCGAATCAGGCTTTACGTGATGAAGAATGAAGAAAATTGGAATTTAGGCCTGAAAATCTCAAACACTTTTAGGGCATTAGATAATGGGCTTCAGGAAGTGGGAGGAAATAATTTAAGCCAAATGGGGATGCATATAGGTCCAAGTAGCGAATTTTCCTCAAAAGCCCTCAAAGAAGTGATCTATGTGAATAAGATGGAAGATGAGGCCATCTTCAAAGGAAAAGGTAATGATCACATTATGGCTGATGGGACAAACGTGATTTTGGAAGTTGTCATGTATGAAGATAAAAACCACGAGGAGGGTTCTAGCGATAGGAGAATTTTATTCAGCAATGAAGCTCATTCCTTTTCCAATATATCTTGATGAATTTTGTATTCTGGAATAGTAGAGGAACAGGTTTGAAGTCCTTTCCTGGATTGGTTAAGGAAATTTCAAAAAAACATTCTGTGGATTTTTTTGTCATGCTAGAGACACGAACTGGTGGTAGTAAGGCCCAGCGACTAACTAAGGCGATGGGATTCTAAATTTTTAAAGTTGTGGATGCTAGAGGATTCGGTAGTGGTTTATAGGTTTTATGGAATGATGCTTCTTGAAAGTTTGAAATTTTGCAGAAACATGATTAATTTATTCATTCAAAACTTACATATGGTAGTAATGAGTTATTTATTATAACTGTATATGCTAGTCCTAACCCCATTCTATGTAGAGCCCTTTAGTCAGAATTGAGAAGAATTAATTTTTCTATGACAGGGGCGTGGTGTATTGGAGGAGAGTTTAATAGTACTCTTTTTATGCATGATAGTAAATCATCTTATCAGACTGGAGCTAGTATTAATTAAGAGTTCTATTCCTGGGTCGATGAGCTTGAGTTGTCAGATTTGGGATGTAAGGGTTCTTACTTCATGTGGAAGCAAGCAAGAAGTGAGAGTAGGATTGACAAAGTGCTGAGTGATGAAAGTTTTAAAAATTCTTTTCTTGGAGCAATTGTTACTCATCTCCCTTTCTTCAAATCAGATCATCGTCCTTTATTACTTCGTTTGACTGATCAAGGTAGTGCTATAAAGAAGAAAGACCGTCCTTTTAGATTCAATGCAGCCTCGGTCCTTCATGATGATTTCAAGAGTTTGGTGAATAAAACTTGGTTACCAAATGAAGATTGGTGTCTTAATGTTAATAACTTTACTATTGCAATCAACCAGTGGGGTCATGATGTTTTTGGGCATATTAATAGAAAGAAACGTCATCTGCTTAATAGAATTAAAGGGCTTAATAACTCAGTGAACTCGTGCTATAATGCTAAATCCCTTAAGCTTCTTTAAAAGAAGCTTTGGCAGGAACTTGAAGAAGTTATTCTCTAGGAAGGTCTACTTTCAGCTCAAAAAGCTAAATATGAGTGGTTTATTTTTGGGGATAGGAATTCTAAATACTTTTATGCTCGAGCTAATGTTAGAAGGAAGAAGAACATAATTGAGGCTATTCAAAATGATAATGGTGAGTGGACATATGATTCTGAGGAAGTCAAAGCTATCACTTTGTCTTTTTTCAAGAACCTTTTTCGTGAAGATTCGGCTCTCATTACAGGTAATTCCATTCCCTGCCCTATCTCTTTCCCTTGTATTGAATCTAGCTCTTTACATGAGTTGGGTAGTAATTTTTATGATGAAGAAATTAAGAATGCTATGTTTAGTATAGGGGCTTTGAAATCTCCGGGGCCAAATGGTTTGAATGCGCTTTTCTTTCAAAGCTAATAGAAGTATATTGTAATTTTATTACAAATATGGTTAAGTAAATTTTCAACAACCTATCTCTTGTCCATGATATTAATGGGACGTTACTTATTCTCATTTCGAAGAAGGAACACCTTGAGACCATTCGTGATTTTCGTCCTATCAGCCTTTGTAATGTCATTTACAAAGTTATGACTAAGGTTATTGCCAATAGAATTAAACCTCTACTTCCTACTATTATTTCTCCAAATCAGTGTGGTTTTATTTCAGGATAATATCATAATATCTCAGGCAGTTATTCATTCTATGCATAATATGAAAGGGAAGAAAAGTTTTATGGCAATTAAGATCGATATTGAAAAAGCCTATGACAGAGATAATTGGGATTTTCTTATTTCATACCTTGAGGAGATTAATTTGCCAACAAAGTTGATTGAGGTTATTCGGCATTGTGTGAGATCTTCTAGGATGCAAATCTTATGGGAAAGAAGTAAAATGGAAGAATTTAGATCGGCTAGAGGCATTCGTCAAGGAGATTCTCTTTCTCCTTATCTTTTTGTTTTATGTATTGAAAAGCTTGCTCATCTAATACAAGCAGAGATTGTTAAAGGTACTTGGAGGCCCATTCGCTTAAATAAAGGTAGTCCTCTTCTCTCCCACCTTTTCTTTACTGATGATCTTGTGCAGGTGATTAGACAATGTCTTGATTGTTTCTGTGCAATGTCTAGGCAGAAGGTAAGCCATTCTAAAACTAGGGTGTTTTTCTCTAGGAATATGAATCATAATAGAGCACAGCAACTTAGTGACTTACTTGAATTTAATCGTACAGCAGATTTGGGTAAATATCTTGGGGTCCTTCTTCATCATAATCATGTGACCAAAAATACTCATCAATTTGTGGTGGATAAAATAAAGCAGCGACTCTCTAGTTGGAAGGTGACTTCTATTTCTTTTGCAGGACGAGCAACTCTAACAAAGTCTGTGTTGAGTACCATTCCTCTATATTGTATGCAAACTGCTCATCTCCCTGTGAGTACTTGTGAGGAGAATGATAAATGTTCTCATGGTTTTCTTTGGGGTTCAACTGGGGAAAGGAAAAAGATTCATCTTGTAGCTTGGGATGAAGTGTGTAGACCAAAAAGAAATGGTGGCCTTGGTTTGCGACACACTCATCTTCAAAATAAGGCCTTTATGATGAAAGCAGGATGGGGCTTTATACATAACAAGGAGGCTTTATGGGCTAGAGTTATTATAAGTAAATACAAATGTGGAAGGGAGTTAATTCCACAAGTGAATAGGACTCACCCCGGATCTCAGTTCTGGAAAGGTTTGAGAAACAATTGGGAGAAAGTTCAAGTAGGGGTGGAATTCACAACTAACCAGGTGAATGAGGTGGTTGTTAGATGGAAACTTGAGAAGCCTGGTATGTTTACAGTTCGTTCTGCTTATGAGTTCTTGACAGATAGTTATGCTTGCCCTGATCAGATGTAGACCAAGATTTGTAAGCTTCAAGTGCCTTAACGTTGTAGATCTTTTCTTTGGCTCATAAGTCATGACTATATCCTTACTAATAAATCCCGTTTTAATCATCATTTGGGCAATCAATCGTGGTGTAGTTGTTGCCCTGGGAAGGTTGAAGACACTCTGCATGTAATGAGACAGTGTCTTGAAGCTAAGGAAGTGTGGATGAAATTACTACGTCCTTCTCAAAGATGGGCTTTCTTTACTGTAGACCTACGTGAATGGCGTAAGATGAATCTTAAGATTCAGGTAAAAGTTAACAATTTCAAGTGGTGTGATTTGTTTTCTGTTTTGTGTTAGGCAATATGGAAGCATAGAAATGAGAGAGTTTTTAAGGGATAAAGATCGACGTCAGAGTGTCAGTGTACAAACTACTGCTATCCTTAACTGTGTGAAAGGGGCTAATCGTCGCTTATAAAATACGTTTATTGCTGGCATTTGTCCTACTATGTAGGCAAATATGACTATTTTAGCTACTGATAAGCTTTTTATTTTTGTTGATGGGACCTTTGCGGTTGCTACGGATGCTAAAGGTTGTGGAGGACTTGTAACACACCAAATTTTTTTTTTAAAATAATTTAACTCAACCATAGTTGGGTTACAGTCACCCAACACATTTTTTATATCAATAATTTTAATATAAAATATTTTATAATTGGTTTCAACTTACACATTATAACATTTCGGATAAATTGTTACCTCCCACATGCCATTAGGCTAAATCACATTTGTCCATTCTTATACTCCCAACAAGTAAATTAAATTACATTTGTCCATCCTTATACTCCCAACAAGTAAAATAAGCAATTGAGTCAATTTTCAACACAAGCCAGTTATTTGGCCTTATAATTATGTCATTTTAACCAATCCAAAGTAAACCAAATATTAAAATTACAGTCATCCAAATTGTACCAAAAATAGAAATAGTTTGAAAGGCATGATTACATTTATATATTCATATAATTGACAATAAACAAAAAAAGTCCTAATATTGGCAATATAACACATTATAAATCATAAATTAAATACCCAAAAGAGACAGTGGATTTATACCACTAAGTCTCTGGGACTCCTCCACGTGTCACTCGTGGCTCTTCTCCTGAAAATTGTTAACCATATAATGAGACTCAAAAGTCTCAGTAACCAAAGCCAATTTATGATAGTGTATACAAACAGTTAAGTGTGTGTTTACTAAGTGAGAATTAAAAATAATATAATTCCAATAAATATAAGAAATAATACAATACACACAAACAATCATCCTTATATCCCTCAATTAACCTCAAACCGTAGCCCTCACTCGGTGCTAAATTATCCGGCCAAAGGTAGATTAGCTCGAGTCCTTACAAGCCACCTATTGAGCTCCAATAAGGGCGTATCACGTGGCACATAAATACAATAATAATAGCAAGTCTCCCAACACCTCACACAATAATTAAACAAATTTATAATAATATTGCACAATTATACAATATTATAAAATTCATAATTTTCTCAATAATCACCCAATTAACATGAAGTAATACTAATCACAAATTAAAAGCATGGTTACCTTGTGGCTTTTTCAATAAATTATTCCTTAAAATTTCTCTCTCACCACAATCTTCACCAGTAATACAATCTACAAATAACATATTATTTATAAATATTAGTTTCAATTTTTGAAACTAATAAAATAATTCTAATAATAGAATTAAAAATATAACATAATTCCTAATCTCAATCTTAATACAAATCTATAGTTAATGCTATTAAGTAAAATTTTTAACTCCTCTTTTAATTATTAATAAACATTAATAATCTAAAAATCAACTTCTAAACTAATTTCTATTATCAAAATTTTTTTTATTTCATAAATTCGTACCTAAAATACCCAAAAATTAAAAATTGAGTCTCTAGTTTAGAATCATAATTCTATAACCATAATAATTCATTTCTCATCCCAAATAATCATCTAAACCTCAATAAATTAACACATATTTTCAGATCTAGTTTAGAATTTGATTTATAAGCTACAAATTCAAAGATCATCAACAAATTTATACTCTAGAACATTTATTATACTACTGACAACCTCAAAAACCATATTTATTCAATATAAATTCATCCCTCTTCCAGATCTTAAATTTTCTACCATTACAAACTCAGAAACCAAAGAAGAAGGATGACTAAGAAAAATTTTTAGAACACTTACTTAGTCTTAAAAAGCTTAAAACCACACCCTAAATATCCTATTAAAAACTCTTACCTTAAAAACTCAGATCTCCCGCACCGGTGAAACTAGACGCTCTTTCAGTCTCAGCTCACGCACACGAAGAATGAAGAAACGAAAGGAAACGGGTGAGTTTTTATAAAAATTTAGTGGGTCCCACATTTTTTTTAAATTATTTCCTCTCTCTTCTTCTTTTTTTTTATTATTATTTTATTTTACTATTGAGGCGGCCGCGGAAAGCAAACTTCTCTTTTTCTTCTTCTCTCTCTTTTTTTTTTGCATACCTTTTTTTATAATAATAATTTAATAATATTTTTTAATTAATTAATTAATAATAATTTTTTTAATTAATTTCTTTAAAAAATTTTAATTTAGAATTATATCCTAAGTTAGATTTAATGATCATTTCCTACTAATTTATTTACCTCTAAATATTTTTTTTTTAAATTTCTATTAACCCAAATTAACTATTAAAATTTAAATTGGGATGTTACAGGACTAGTTAAGGATACCAAAGGGAATACCATTGAAGCTTTCATGCTCTGATTAGATAAGGGGGATAATTTGATGGTGGAATTATGGGCTTGCTATATGAGACTAAAGCGTGCTTGGGATATCAAAACCAAGCATGTAAGACTAGAGCTGTCCATTAGGGCCAACCAGGTCTTAAAGGGCCGGCCCTTGAAGGGCCAAGGCCTAAACGAGTTGGCCTTAATAAGCTCGATTGCATGTCAAGGTTTCATTTTATAAAGCTCAGCCCTAGCCCTCAGGGTTAAAGGGTCGGCCCTCAGGGCCTCAGCCATTTTTTTCAAGTAAAAATTATAAAAAATATATTTATAATCATAAAAAAAGTTATTATTCATAAAATTAAGTTTAAGAAAATAAATTTAAATCAATTTACACCACAACAATAAATAAAACTAAAACATTTAGGTCTAATATCAAATAATAACATTAAAGTGAATACCAATAAAATTAAACTTAGTTAATATTATCAGCTAAATCTTAATAAATAAATGGGGGATGGATGATTGCATTTAATATGTTCATTTCTTTGAGTTATGTATTTAATATTTTATTTTTTTTATATTATAATTTTTTAAATAAATAATAAAAGGCCCTTAAACCCAATTTACTTTTTTAAAGCTAAAATAGAAGCCCGGCCCTCAATTTTTTCGGGCGTAAAAGGGCCGAGACGACTCTATGTAAGACTCCATAGTGACTGTTGTGAAGCACTATCTCTGTTAGGAGCTACTAATTATGATTTTCATGAGGATCGAGAGATTATTACTGAAATTCAAAAATTACTTCAAAGAGACTGGTAGGTTGATATGAAATGCATTGAAAGAGAGTTCAACACAGAAGCTGATTCCTTAGCGAAATGTGCCTTATCCCTCCTCATAGGTCTTCACATAGTGGCTGGTGATTCTATTCCTTCATCTATGGAGGAGTTTTAGTTTTATTTGTTGTTTTGTTTTGTTTTGTTTGTTTCTTTTTAATAAAAAAAATCAAAAAATGCATACTTGATGAGCAAAAGTGAAAAACCATAAAGGCGCGTCTTAGATTTAATCTTTTATAGACATTATTTCTTATTTTTTTTTACTGCAGTTTTAAAAGATCAAATTTTTAAAACAAATTTATTAAAAATTAGATAGGAATCATTTCAGTATTGATCTAATAATTTTTTTTGGGGGGGGTGGGGGGGGGTCTCTCCAGTGATGGCAAGACTCAGGTCGAATTACCTAAAAAGGCTTGGGTTAGACCGTCATATCCTATAATAAAGATGATGATGATTTTATGCTGTTGGCATTTTGGGCAACCTAGTGAATAGAAATATTGGACTTTAGTATCTAAGCATCGCCATGCTTGTTAATGGATTTATTAAATATGGGGAAGAAGAACGTGGGTTTTATATTTTGCAACTATCAATTTTCCTCATGATAAATTTTTTTTTTTTTTTGGGGTAAAGATGATTGGTCCTTTTGATCCTGTCATCCATGGAAGAGTCCACCAAGGATTCGAACCATATGAGTTCACAAGTGATTAAAATGTTTTGAAAGCACTACACATTTGTTAAAATGTTAAGATTTTAAAAATTAATATTTGTTTTAATTTTATAGAGGTTACATCCCTTATTGAATGCAACTTCAAACATTGTCATTTTCTTTCAGCAACTATTAAAAACATTAAAAATTTCATTATAAAAAATTGAGAGATCACTTTTAATCACATCTATAAAAAAGCTAATCGATATACAGATCTGTTAGCTCATAAGGGCTTAATTGAGCATTTTGATATTACTTTTTTTAATCTTTCCATAGATTGCACAAATTTTATAACTTCGGACATGATCTGAACTTGGTTTATTTGTACAGCTTTTCCCGTGGTCTTATATTAAAAAAAATTATATATTTTGAGCTTCCTTATTTATAATTCTAACTAAAACCTTCCTGTACATTATAAATATCAAATGTAATTTTTAGAATAAACCAAACATGAACTTAAACTTTTTATGTATATATTAAAAAATTATCAATATATATCTCAATACTAGTATTTTATACTTGGCTAAAAAAATATTAGTATTTTATATGTTTTATTGAGCGATAAAGTAAAACGACAAAAATATCAAAATCAGTCAGCGCGTGGCCTGCCACCTCGTCCAAAACAGTACACATCCACGTGTCATTTATATAACCTATCACGCTTCCTCTGATTCAGCTTCTAAAGTCGAACCCTTCCGCGGCAGTTATTAGCTACGACAAGACCCGCTGCCACTGCATGAAATTCAATCATAGGACCGCCGGATACATTTTATTTTTCAGATCCGACTTTGACTCATTTTATGCTTTTAACGAAATTCAACTTTGACCAAAACGGGGGAAAAAAAAAAAGTACTTGCATTAAGGTATACCACTACACTGGATAGTAACAATTTTAATAGATATGGTGTTTATTATTTAAAATATTGTAAGATATTACCAAATAAAACTATTCACATATTTATTGAGACATCACACAGCTACCAAGTTAAAAATTTCCCTTTCAAAATAGAAAAAGTCAGGACAATTGGTATCGCGTGTGGACAATGAATATTCTCAGTCATTTATTCATTTAACTACTCACATGTTCAGCACATACTGTGGCCACTAAAATCAGGATCTGAACCTCTAAGACTCCCACTCCCTCGACGGCAAAGAAATCTGTACCCTTCAATTCATACCCAATGCTTTATGAGTTGCCTCCTCGTCTCATATTAAAATTTATTTTTTACACTTTATCTCACTCCTTCATATGTATATTTTGCGATAATGATTTAAATTAATGTTTTTTCATTTTTATTTCCAAAACTTATCCTAAAAAATTACTCTAATAGGTTTTTATTAAATATATTTGGCTAAAGTTTGGATAAATCGAATTGTAAGTTACTATGAGCATATTTATATTTAAAAAATAGTGAAATAAAGAGTAAAAATTATTTTTTAAAATTAGATTATTTTAATATGAGATGATATGGCAACGCATGAGGTATTGAATATAAATTCAAGGGTGTAGATTTCTATTGGTGAGGGACAATGAGAGAGTGGGAATGCAAGAGGATCCAGTTCCTTGAAATCAAGTCAATGACCTAGTATGATAGGTGGTCTTTTCTGCCTGAGCCTCTTGTTACATATGCTTCTCCTAAAGATGAGGCTATTCTACATGTCAAAGTTTTAGATTTTCACTCATTCATGGGTGAATGGAATATTGAAAAAATTAATCGTTACCTTTACTCGAAAGTGGTTAACTCCATCCTATTAGTTCAACCTCCCAACCCTCATGGAGAAAGTAATACTCTTGTTTGGAGATCTTCTTTGGATGGCACTTCTCCATTAAGTTTGCTTATAAAGCTCTTGAGAATTGTGGGGGAAATACCAATAATAAAATTTGGTTTACTATATGGAAATAGCCTACTTATGAAAATATTAAGTTTTTTTCTAGAAAGCTATATGAGATCATCTTCACATCAAATTTGTCAATATTGATAACGCAAATGCTTCCATAAGAGTTTGCCCTTTTGGTTGTAACTTCCCTGACTCTTCCATTTACATTTTGCGCAATTGCACTAAATCAAGGCAATTATGGATGAAATTAGTAAAATATTCAAAACTTAACACTTTCTTCTCTCTTTTCTTACATGATTGAATTCTCTGAAATGTAAAGAATAACGTTGGAGGCCTAAACACAAAAAGAACCCCTTGGAAACAATATTTTGATCACATATGTTGGAACATTTGGAAAGGCCGTTGCTCCTATAAATATTCTGAAGACTACATTCCTGACAAGGACATCATCTTCTCTAGCACCCAAGACATCATGAATGATAGTTGTCTCCAAAATCAACTTGGGAATGTGCATTAGGACCATGGTAGATCTCTTGCTAAATAGACTCCACCTAAATCTAGCTAGGTTAGGTTGGATGTTGATGGTTTAATCTTCATCAATGGAGCTGCTACATGTAGTGCCCTTATTTGCGATGACCATGGTAATTGAATAAAAGACTTTACCAAATACTTTGGTTATTATCCTAGTAATGCTGCTGAGCTCTTGGCCATCCTTCAGGGCCTTTCTCTTTGTTGGAATTACAAATTTACTCATGTCAATATCTACTCTGACTCTATTGAAGTTTTATCACTTATTTAATATCACCAAATTCCAACCACCCCTTCAACGAAGCTATAAGTAAAATTAGAATTCTCAAAATGAGGGACTGAATTATCAACTTCAACTATATGTTTAAAGAATCCAACAATTATACGAATTGATTGGCTCGTCATGCTTTGAATAACAACATCAACATCTCAATTTTTGAAGATCCTTCACTTGAATGTAGCACTCTTATACATCTTGATTTAACCCAATCTTGTGCAGTTATCTGTGACCCCGTATTTCAAAAAAAAAAAATCAAGTCCATGAAAAGAATACGGTGATCTCGCACGCACCTGATTAAATAATAGCCTTCCATAAAAACAGAGCGGATGTCTTTTCTTCTTCCAATGGACCAATAGACGCACGCCAATTTAGGAAGCTTTCCCGGGATCGCTCCCGCCACAAGATCTGCGATCAAAACGGAGTGGTATCCCGTAATTAAAATGAACCATAGTGGCATCTTGCCAAAGTCGAATACGCCACTATTAGAGGAACCCAGGGTCGCCTTCACTGACGAACTCTCCTCACACTCTCGAGCCCTACTAATAATAGCAGCCGCCACTGCCACCTCCGTCCACCACCATCATGGCTGCGATCAGCCACCTGAGAGTCGTCTCTCCGATGTTTAGAGCTCTCGGATTTCTCTATAATCGATCCTTCGGATCGGCGGCGGCCGCGGTTCAGTACGACTATGATGATTATGAAGAAGAACACTACCAGTTGTGCAAGCAAAGTGCCATGGCTGATACAGAAGGTTCCGCACCGGAAAGTGGAGTGCAGTGGGTAATGATAGGGGAACCGGGCTCCAAGAGGCATGTTTTTGCTGAGAGGCTCTCGAAGCTTCTTGAAGTTCCACACATTTCTATGGCCACCCTCCTTAGCCAGGAACTTAGTCCGCGTTCTTCTCTCTACCAGCAGGTTTTCCTCCCCCTCTGGTGATTTTAGAATTCAATAATCCTTTTATTTCTTGGATTAAACCTTGTTTCATTGTTTAGTTGAAGAAAATTTGAGTTCAGTTAGCCTTGAAAGTTGTGTTAGAAGGGCAATTAGTTGATAATCTTTCTTCGGATTTCTGTTGTTCTTGAAATCGAATTCTCCAAATTTTGACCGTCGGGCCCTTCTTTTCGTGGTTTCTTTATGCGTACTCTCTCCTTTTTTTCTTTTCGTTTCTCTTTTTATTTCTTTCTTCACTTGAAACCCTTCTTTCCCGCTCTTAAATTCAGCCTACATTCTGTGATATTAGCGGTGACAAAGCTGAATTTGAATCTCTACATTCGTAATCCTCTCAATTTGTTTCTAAATTTCAGTAGTTGGATTGATGTTGCAGTTCATATCGGTCAATTTTTTATAGAATACGGCAATAAAATGAGTTTGCTTCTGGCTTATGAGTTATATGTGTGCGGGGTTCACTTTGTAGTTTGTATAGGGGCCTAGCTCTGCTGTAATATTTTATACTTCGTTTCTTCCATTGCAGATAGCGAATGCCTTGGATCAAGGAAAACTTGTCCCCGAAGAAATAATTTTTCGGCTGTTGTCAAAGAGACTGGAAGAAGGATATTTGAGAGGTGAAACAGGCTTCATTCTGAATGGAATTCCTCGCACAAAGATCCAAGCTGTAAGTGTCAAGTCTCTAAAGTCTTGCAGATAGCTTCTTTTCTCTGCGTATAATTTGTTCTACTGGTATTTCCTTCACTGTTTGACGGACCTTCTTTCATAGTTCATATGGTAGTTGCTTACCTGTGTTAAAATATAAATTATTTCGCAGGAAATTCTTGATCAAATCGTTCATGTTGATTTGGTTGTGAATTTCAAATGCTCGGAACAAAACTTTGCGACCAAGAATCTGAGAGCTCGAAGATTTGATCCTTCACGAGAATATCTTAGAATTGACAGCAAGCTGTATACCCAATGTGGATGTTCCTGGAGAGAGAATGTCCACGATCACGCAGAGGAGGTGGGTCATAATCTTTCATTCTCTATCTGGAGAAGTCTCATTTCGTTATCCCTTTTCATTATCTTTACTTTATTTGTAATTTTATTACAGTGCAAGCTGTTGGAGGACTACTACAGAGAGCAGAAGAAACTTGTTAATTTTGAAGTAGCAGGTGGCCCTGGAGAAACCTGGCAGGGACTTCTGGCTGCATTACATCTCCAGCACATTGATGCTATCACTTCTTCACAGAAGCTGACTGCTTAAGGTTTCATCAATCTTCTTCCCCCGCACCATTCATATCCCCTCTGGGCCTTCTGATACCTGTGAATATGAGAGCCAGAGTGGTCTAGAAATTTTGGCGAATGTTGATGTTAGTTTTTCTTTTTGTTTCCTTCATTAATGCTTTGAGAATGTAAGCTGGATGCGTTATATGTAGCTCAAAGATACGATGCAAGTATACGGTACTTATGACCACTAGAGTGTATTGTCTCCTTTTGCCCTTCTTTTCTATCTGCCGCAATGTTTTCTTGATTTCTTGGTACGTTCTTGTTCCTGCGAGAACTTTGTGTTGGCTTTGGCGTTATTCATTTTAAAACTTCTCAGTGAAATAGTAAATTTAAGGTAATATTTAAATGGGTGAATTTGGATTGGGAATTTGAATTTAAAATTTTATATTTGAAATTTATAAATTTTAAATTCTTTGTTAGGATGATATAAAAATTTTAAATTATAATATTTAAAAATTTTTGCTTGAGTTTTAAGTAAAATTTATATTTGAATTTAAAAGCAATTCGAATAATTAGGATCAAACTGTTAGCACTTATTGGGATTGAATTGTAGACTTATACTAGGATTTTATAGTTAGTGATGACTAGAACAAAACAGCTGACTTTTACCAGGGTTGGTCTATCAACATAGACTAGTTGAGGCCAGTTTGATGGAAGTTAGCTGTTCGGTCCCAAGCGGCTGTTGCAGTAGTCTGGTCTTATTCACCACTGGCAATCCAGACCTGTTCGATGCCGCAAACAATCAATTAAATTACAAAGAGATTGTGCTATGATTTAAAATGATAGGAATTTAAAAAAGATTTTAAATTACAAAAATATTAAAGTAGAACTTGAATTTGAATTTGAATTTAATTTATTTTTAATTATTCAAATAATGAATTTAGCTAAAATTTAAATTCAAATTTTCATGTATCCAAACATAGCGGAAGAGTAATTTAGTCTCTTAAAAAAATTCCAATCATACAGAAAATTTACAATTTCTTTATTTGTTGGTGTCTCATTTATAGAAATTGACACAACTACTAATCGGTGATTGTGATTGACTTACTTTACTAACTTGAAATTACTTATCTTGTGACATTTTGCCTGAGTTAAGAGTTGCATGAACTATTCATGCCACCTCAATAAATATGAGATGACATGAACTTTGCTTCAATTTGGAGTAATAGTGATTGGGAAAAAATATTTCAGATATTTACTTAAAATTTAATATAAGTACAACAAATTAAATAAAAATCTATCAACTATTAAATTATCAATTTTTTATAAGAATTAAGCTATGGGAGGAGGATGACGTTTAAATATTCCCAGTTTAGGTTGGCTAATTAATTTAGTAGAGGAGAACATAATTGCAATCCATTTGGTCAAGACACTAGATTCTGTTGGGTATTACTATCCCTAGTACAGAGGATTTCATCAGGTGGAGTTTAATATAAACCATAACATGATTTACATTTGAATGTATTCCAGTTTTTGTGCTTTTCAAAATAGTGGAAAGTTACTTATGAATTATACTGCTCATTCTAAATTCGGTATAAATGCCTAAAGTTAATTTTCCTTCATCTTTTTGAGATGGAATGTCTTTTTCTTGGGACTTGGGGCCAATGTTCGAATGCTGATTGAATCATTGAAATCCAGGAAATTATGCACTACGTCAAGAATCTCACTAACCTGTCTTTGGGGCCCAGTGGCAAGTTGCATGTAGATAGGAGAGACGGTCAAATGAATATTATTTATATGCACACTATTCTCACCATTTCGATTTTTAATATTTCATGTTCAGCTAAACCTGGGTGATGCACCTCTATTATTGTTTCTATTTTACAGATCTCACAGGCAGAGAAACCTAAAATTTAGGAATCCGCGAGACTACTCGCTGCTCATCCACACGTCCCTGAGAAGTTCATATCTAACTGTAGATCCATTGCGAATTTCTTTGGTTTTCCAGCATAGTTTTGTTGAGGACACTGAAGATGCGGAGGCGTCGATTAGTATTGAAGACAAAGGGGAATTTAATTCATCAAGCTCATCATCACTGGTGTAAGCCTTCCTGAGAGCAGATGATCTGCTTCTTCTTAGTTGAGATTCACTTCCCACCTCCCCGAAAATGGTAACTATGGAAGTCGCCGGAGGAGGTAAGTACTCAATGGGAGCTGCATTGCATGGGAAGGTTCCAACACATTCCTTACCACACTCGAGATCGTCCTGTTTCAGATTGAGAACAAAAGCTAAATCTTCAGCGTTTAGGCTGATGATTACCAAAAATTTTTTAACTCCAACAAGGACAACATTGTTTACCTCCCAACGATATAAATCATGGCACTAAAACTGAACTGCCAAGAGATTACGAGCAAACTGGGTATCTTACCTGGGAGTCCAGAGCTTCAAAAACGACGGTGGGAATTGGATCAGGGCAAAACTCATCTGCAACAAAATTGTCTAGAATCCTCTTGATAAGTGGAGCGCTAAACTTTGGACACACCTGCACCAAGCAATCTCTTTGGCATTAACTGGCGCATAAATTTTTAAGCAAGTCAGCTGGTAGCAAAGAAATGTTCAAGTTCATTGGCAGACCTCTCTCCTGACGGAAGAACTCAACAACAAATCCTTGGGAAGCATCAGAAGGTCACTAAACGCATTCAGAAGATGGAAGGACTTCAAGGATGTATTCTGCCTCCCATCATTGTCATGCGAGTCATCCTTGTCTTCGGATGAGTCATCGTCATCCATACCAAACAAGTCAGTCAACCATCTAGACCAGTTCCCAATCTGACATAAGCAGAACACATGAGAAGAGCTATCTCTTGAGACCAAAAAATAAAACGTTGTGCACACTATCATAGCTCATCGTTTCCTAAGCTACAGTCCTGGCCTATTTTTAGATATACATTAAGGATCAGAGACCAACAGAAAGAGATGCACGGATTGAACTCGTAACTTTAGGTTTGAATTTTAAAAAATTGAAGTTCAAATATAAATATATATATATATATATATATAGAGAGAGAGAGAGAGAGAGTTTGACTAGTTTACCGCAGTTTTAAGTTGAGCCCCAGCTCCAAAGCTTAATTGCCCAGGTTGGATGGGGAGAACCTTGGGATCACTAATGGGATCAGATACAGGATCGGAAGGGATTTCATCAGCAGATTCACGAAGAATGGCATTGAACATAGCCACGTCTAATCTTGTCACACATTGCTCCATTATCTAGATTAAGAGGGTTCGTTCTAATGTCATGATACCGACAAAAAAGAGACTTCATCAACTAAAGTAAGAGAAAGCATGCTTGAGTTTTATTTTAAATGGCTAAGAAAACCGCATTTACGGATGTGAAGCCTTCTGCTAGACATTCTTTGCAAATTATACTTTTTTCCCACTCCTTCCTCCAGAATAAGAGACTGAAAATTGGGATCATTCAGCACATCAATAATCTCAACCATGAAGATACCTTAGACGTCAAGTAACCAGATACAGAAGGTATCCCCATTATAGAGTCTGTTGTGTAATTATTATAATTCCTTTAATACCAGGAACCTGTAGTATTTCAATCCATTAAATATGATCCTTTTCACTTTTAGGGACCATAGACCCGGAAGATACTACTGAATGGAATTTGGTTAGAGTTATATATAAATGTTATCCACACATCACATGTAACCAGAGTCCAGAAGATATATAATGACCATCACATTGAAACTATGACTTTGCAGCTTTAAACTCTGATGTGAAGTTTTTTCCCTGCCCTTTTGCCCTTTCCTGCTCTTATTTTATTGCAGTAATCATTGGCCAATGCATAGGACTACCATAATTCTTTGTTCACGCAATCACTCGATTCAAATCTTTTCCCCCTTGCCCATCCTGACCAAACCATAGAGATATGGCAACTAAGATAAAACAGAGAAGATAGATACGATAAAAGACTGAAGTACCTTTAGCACAGAAAAGGGGAGGAGAATAAGGAATTAGGACGGAAAAACTAACCAATCTAGACAGCACAGGCAAACAGCCACACTCATGCCCTCCAGCTCGAATGGGACAGAGCCTGTCCCAGGATTCCCGAAAAGCATTCTTCCAAATATCTAGTGAAATGTTCCCCTGCTCTTGATCACATGAGCTAGACATCCTTCTATAGCTTCTTCTTGAGGCAGAGTTCACATCCTTTTTAGTGGCTATTGCATCAGGTTGCATGTGTGGAATCAGAGTCTAAATATAGACACAGAAGGATTCACTCATTTACATTAGATTTGTGCAAATAGATTGTCATTTTTATTCATTAGCCTGCATGGCTGCTTCAAGAAATTGTTAGAGATGAGAAAATAGAGATTACCTGCCACCAGATAGATTCCACTATGCGAGAGAATATCCAGGCTTCTACCTTTTCCAGTGCTGAAGTGAACACATGGGGTTCATCCCAGTTACCAAAACCTCTGAGTTCTGGTGCTGTATTTTCATTTTCACCAGGTGAAGATCCCTTCCATCGCAATGAGTTTGTTGTCTTGCCATTCCTCTCTCCCTCACTTTTCCTTTTTACACTAGATTCTGCAAAAACTGATTGTACCATTTCTTTGGAAGTTTGGCATACAATTGTCCTCAACACAATGATATTAGACAACCAGAATGTCAGCCTGTAGTCAGATTCAAGAGGTTATCAGTTGTCAATACCAAGAAACCACATTAAATTTTATGCACGAAGAATAAGCAAAATGTGAGTTGACCAAACTCTTAAGTAGTAATCTGACTCATTGATGTTGGTACTTTCTATGCAATTTAGCCGGGAAATTTGTTAGTTTAGATAATGCTGATTCTCATTCTAACAATTATTTAACAAGTAATGCATGGAAGTTCAGCATAAAACACAGAATATTTTTCATTACACTTTGTAAGCTACTTGTTTTCCGAGACTAATTAAATGGCTTCCTTCTTTTTTCACCCAAGAGAAAATCTTGAAATTTTCATGACGATATAACTTGTGGTTCTTTGTGCTCAAGAACAACATTAAAATCTTAGCAAACGATAGGAAGCAGATAGATTAATGCTTAGAAAAAAGTGCTTGGTCTTGGCAGAATAGCTCAGGTATACCTTGGGACATCATTTCCACATGCCTTAGCGACAAGTACTAACCCAGAAACAGCATTTTTAGCTGCCCCAGCCCTTCTTGCTCGAAGGTTTTCTTTACAAGCATGGAGATACAGCCTAGAAAGACGCCGAGCTGGAGCATGGACCTTACTCATGGAGCTCCCATGCTCTGCAACTACTGAATATAAAGAAGCCTCAATAGCAGCAACTTCTCTTAACTCTCCTTCAAGCATCTTTATCTTGTTTTCTAAATGCTCGACTTTGCTGTCTAGAATGATCATTCTTGCTTCCTTTGGATAAATTTTAGCATCTTTCTTGTCAATGGTTCTGATTTTTTCTCCAGTATTTTGTGCATCTCCAACGTTGCCAATTTCCTTCACATCCAAATTATGATAACTACCAAGTGATCCTGCAATCCTAACTGAGTCTGCTGGTGACCTCACAGACTTTACATGCTTTAATCTTTCACTTTTTATAATATTTGCTGTGCCTAAAGGATATGAACTGCTACTCAATAAGGCATGATCATTGACACCTTGCGCTGCTGATTTTTCATTTTCTGTGTTGGCACTTTCCTCATACATCCCATTGAATTTATCAATGACTTCAGAAACATCACAATTTACAGAACCTGAATTCTGGTTGTACATTTGAACGTCTGTAACTATATTTCTATGATTAACAACCTTTTCATGAACCTCCTCATCTGAATGTTTACTATCACCGTTTCTTGTCTTGATCTTGAAATCTGCCTCAAATTTGTCATGAGCCAAAGATGGATAAGAACAAGCATTTTGGGTAACCACATGCTTTTGAGTTGTCACCGAATTACAATCAGTGGAATTAGAAGAAGCATGACCATTTACCGGACTCCCGAGATCAGATGACATTTCCAATGATGATGTGCTTGATGAACTCCTCTCCAGCTTTTGGCATGTATCTTGTGGCATCATATTTGATTTTTCAAGCCTTGCCAGATGCTCCTTGTCATCCCCACTGGTGTTTTGAGTTGATCCAGTCTGCCATTAAATAGCAATTACTGTATTAAACTGAAAAGTATTCTTCATTGTTTCTTTATATATTGATGAGATTCAATCAGCATACAGACTGCTTTGCTGTGCCGCTGATAAAAACATTGAAGTTAAATTTCTTTGTCAACGTTAATTCTAAAGAACAGTTTACGGTGACAGTCCTATGATGGTGCTAGCAGCAATTTATAATCCTTTTCCAGCAAAGATAAAGTCTCAAGGTTTTGTCCTATTGCAATATGTCCAAATCAGATTTTTTGGGGGAAAAAAAGATGTAATGATGCATAATATAATTTTGAAAAAAAAAAATGCTTGGTCATGGAATGGGACTAGCAAGTTGGAACCCCCCCTCCCTTTTTCAAATGGACATATCCTTTGTGTGAGAGACACTGAAGGCCTATGCAAGTAGACGTTCTAATTGATCTAGTTAACAATAAAAGAAAAATCCATGACTCTATCAATAAAAGAATGGAAGACAACATGAGTACCTCTACAAGTTCAGCAGGTATACGCCTATTTCCCTCTAGGGCGGAAGCAACAGCTGCCACAGATGAATGTGAAGAAACATCATCATCAGAAAAAGTGGCAATCTCAGATTCTTTAGCGTATTCTTCATTCGTCAATGTTAAGTCACCACCATTAACGTCCTTTGACACCACTTTAGACAAACTAACCCTTGACAAGGAGCCAGTGCGACTCTTTTCAATAGGCTGAATTTTTATGAGTAGAAGTGGCTGATCTGTGTTTTTGTAGTTCCTCTTGCAGTTCATCGGAGCACTGATGCTTAAGGTCTCCTTAAGGATACCATAATCTGCCAAGTCTATGATGGCAGTCGCCAGCGACTGACCCTTAAGAGTCTTATCTCTTCGGGGCTCATACAAGTTGAACTCCAAGCAATTCTTTTGGAATATATCAGCATGACCACCTCTAATGGACATATCTCTCAATAGAGTTACGGGGAGTCTAAACGACTCGTTAAATTCAATTTTTCCTTCTTCTGTATCAGAACCCAGCGAAGGGACAACATGACTGGTAGAGCCTGAATAGCGTTCACCATTCTCCCATTGTATCAGTACAGAACGAACGGATCTTAGAGATTGTGAAGGGGGCCAAGGCTTAATTTCCTCGATATGAATGAGGTAATTGATTTTGACACTAGCACTTCTCCTGCTCTTTGCTTTCAGGCTAGAAACCATGGTGCCAAGGTAATGAGTCCCTTCCAGATAAACTTGCTAACTTCAACGTCGGAAATATTTAGAATTCCAAGCCCTGTGTAGCAGAACAGCTAAAATGCTATACATCAGGAAGCAACTTTCGAGCCTTATATATATAATAGAACACAAAGGCAAGTAATTTCTATTCAAAGGCAGGCAATGAATGGTTATAGCAGAGCTGCGGGTACAGACAAACCAGCAAATAGAGCTCGAAATCTAGAAACAGATTGCACAGCGACAACTAAAGAAATGCAGATAAAAAGTAAAAACTAAAAAAATGGAATAAAAAACAAATGGAGAACTTCTGGTCAAGCTTCAGAATCAAAGATAGAAGCATCAGATCGGCGCATTGTTTCAAAGAATTGATGTAGAAGGCAACGGTTTAAAGCACAGAATATGCAGAAGCTTGAAAAGGCGGACCATGGAATATAATTACAAGTTAAATAGTAAATACACAACTATATTCATCACAAGAGGGCTAAAAAAGAATGCGACAAAACAAACGAAGAACCAACAGATTAATGCAGACCTTACCACGGGTGATGGTAGAGTTACTACAAAATATTGACAGAATTAGACTTGAGAGAGCTGCAAGAGCTAACGAAAACTGGAAGGGTTCATTGCTCTGCCATCAAAATGGATCTCCACTTGCTGAGACTAGGACACATCTCACTGAAACTCCGAGCTCCGGAAGAGAACCGAAAACGTCCGGACAACAAAGAATAGAAAATAAAGAAGAGGAAAATAGTGGAAAGCATCAAAGCAAAGCTGACGGCAGAGAATAGAATTTTCATGTGTAAAGTAAAAAGTAAGAAGTCGTCAATATATTGTTATCATTATGATGAGACCCAAAAATGGGGAGGAGTCGGGATAGCCAAAACGAGGTCGTCCGCGGCAAGTGAAAATTATAGGACTGTAACGTTGCATTTGTGATCGCGATGGTGACGGCAGGGCACAAAAGCAGGCATTATAAAATTGGAAAAATCTCACTAGAGCCTTCAAAGTATAAAAATTTACATTTATTACCTAATAGACTGATACTAAAAACGCATTGCACAGGTCCAAAGGCTCTCCTTATAAATTTTGTTATAGATGAAAAACACATTTGTTATTATCTCAATAGAATATTTATATATACACAATATAATATTTACGAACTCTAATATAATGTTCATAAATGTATAGTATATTTAATAGATATTAACTTGAAGTATATTATTTAAATGAAAGTATATTATTCATTATGTATTTTATGTTATATAAATGTTGTAGGTTTATTTGTGCTTACTGTGTTGAGAATTGATGAATATCTTATTGTAGATTCATAGACATTATGTTGTACATCTTTTACAAGCATATACATTTTATTTTAAGTTAAATTATGTTCACCATATGTCTTGTGCATTCATGAACAATGTGTTAAAAATTTATGAGTATCATGTGATATATATATGGACATTCAATTGAAATAAAAATAAATGCATTCTTTTATTTATAATAAAATTCATAAAAAGGACTTTCGAGTTTACATTGTGTTTTCAAGTTTTATTAAGCCTTCAATGTAAACTGGTGTATGCTAGTGACCCTATGTGACATTGTCCCTATGAAATTTCGAGTGGGAAGTGACGCTCACGCGAGCTTATAGAGAATGGCCCTGGTTGTTATTGTGGGTTCGACAGGGACACTAGTGGTTAGTTAAGAAGCGAACAACTCAGTTGGTGTAATTCAAGCCAAAGACGTTGGGTGTGTACCAAGAAGAGCACAGGGAACTAGGAGAGACGCGTGAAGAATACGCAAAGAGGAGAGAGAGAGAGAGAGAAAGGCCCGAATCTCCAAATGCGAAGAGGAGGAGTCTTGTGCGCCGACATGATGATCGTGGGGAAGAAGCATACCCGCACATCACAGTCGAGGAAACTGGATTCTGATAGTGGGGCCCACCAACATCTGTTCACCAATGCATTCTGGGCTCAGGCCACCAGTGTGGTCCATATTTCACAAGCCCAATCAGAGTGTTTTTGGGTTGAAAAACTTGTGTATATATTAGAATAAATTTGCTGCAAAAAAAAAAGCATAATTTAATAATTTAATTTTTAAAATATTAATATTTTATTAATCCTATGCTTTAAATTTTATCTTTTATTCAATTTCTCAATGACTTCTTTCAGTAGAAAATAGTTTTTGCAATCAGTTGATAATCTAATGGAAACTTATGTAATTATTGATTAATGATTTCAACTTGTTTAGATGTCAATTTTTTGAATGATATTTTTGTTTGATTTATCAAAAAACAGTCACTCCAGCAATATGATATAAATAACACAAAATGAAATCACTCACGAGGATGTTTTGAAATTTCTATCATCTATCTCTGAATAAAAAGAACTTTTATGACATTCAGATTGTAGTGATAGAAAAATAAAATAATTTTAAGGGCCATCAACAATGACTTATTAATGTAGATTTATTAATTTTCAAAAAAACATTATTTGAGGCTTAGGTGCAGCGACTTCATCATAAAAGTTGAGCTTAGCTGAAATGGTGAATAAGGTTGTGATAGTCTTGTGTGTCATGTAATGTTCAGAGGTTTGCCATTCACAGAAGGTAGTTTGAGATATTCACTCCCACATCAAGCTTCAGCTTCTTGACCGATCTAGTCGTCTCCCATCTATTATATTTACTAATATTTTAAAACTCAGATTAGACATTAAATCAAAAAGTGTAAAAGATTGCCATTATTATGATTCAATCAGTTAAACCAGCAATTAAACTAATAACATAAAAATTAAATAAAAATAATATTTATATATAAAAATATATAAATGAAATATTAATTTATTGATAGTGTTTGGGATCCTAACACCAAAGGTTAAACGCCTAAACTGCTAAAGCTGGAGGTAAAGGCATGTTGACATAAGCTCACAATCTCAAAGCAAAATGCTAGAGCTGGAGACATGCTATCATGTCATGATTCACAAACTTCTAATCTTAAAGGTTTGATCGCTAGAGGCAAAGGTTGGAGGAGAAATCAAAGATTGAGCTTAAGCCATATATGAGAAATCAAATATTAGAGAAGAGAATTAGATATTAGAAAAGATAAATCACAAATCCAAGTAACCGAGCTTAAGTTTTTTTAAGCTTTGAACCGAATTGACCCGATTTGATTTCTGGATTAACTCTGATTCTCTTAAAATCACCCAAGTCAACCTAGTCCAAATGCCCACGTGATCGAAATAGTTGAACTAAGTTGTTTTATTGAGCGATCAATTATTAGTTCAGTCTAGATTTCAAGACATGGATATTTACTATTTGGCATATATGGTAACCATGTGACTATTTTGTAGACATATATAGTATTTTTTAAAATTATTATATAGCAAATAAAAATAAAAGATTATGAGGGCTTTTATAAGAAAAAAAGGTGGGTCTGGGATCTATGGCAAAAAATAACTAGTGAATATGGAATGAATACTAAAAAGTATTCCATCCAAACCATAATATAACATATCGTTTAAAAGTCTTACTTAATTTAAAATATAGGCCATTGAATAATTTTTATAAAAATATTTTCTAACTATATTTCTACTTTATTTATTAGTATTATTTTTTTTATTCAATTGTCATTATTGAAACACCTACTCCCTTCATTAAAAAATATAAAGCATTTTTAATTGAATCTCATCCTTTAATAAAGTGATTACTTATTTTTAAACTAACTCAATCTTTTCATATTTACCCATATTAAATACTCTATAATAAATATAAAATCATTATCAATAGAGATACTTTTTAAAAAAGGTAATGATTACACCTCAAAAGATTAAAAATGCCTCACCTTTTTAAATATTTAACTCTTCAAAAAATATTTTATATTTTTGAATGGATGGAGTATATAGAGTATTTAATAAAGGTATAATTAAAAAAATATAATTTTTTTAAAGATTAAGATTTCAACTAATTTTTTTAGAACCACAAAGTAATTACCAATGCCTTTTATTGTAGTTCAAAGGAAGTAGTTTATAAGATATTTTTTAACAAATTATATATCCTAATAAATTTTATTAAATATAATTTACAATCTTATTGTTTTAAAACACGAATATAAATTTTTAAAAATATATTTAATTTAATATAACTTTATTAATGAAACATAAATAGAGAAATAAAATATAATAAAGAGGGAAGATTAGTATTAAAACAAATATAATCAATGAAACATTGTTTTTGTCAAAGTATTTTATATTTCTAAACACTGAATTATCTCTAAATATGTTTTACAAATTAGGATAGAGAGAGTATATATGTCACAACTAATTTTTTTTTTTATAAAAAATGGAAAAGCTTCATAAAAATTAATGGATTTCAATTTTAAAGAAGTTTTTAAAAAAAGATGAACAGTGAATATAGAAACCTATAATAAAAAATATGTGTGTGAAACACGCAACAAAATTTAAATGAAAATTACACAAATTGTAAAATGGTCGGCATGCAATGCAATGAATTTTTTTTCATTTCTAGAATTTTAATTTACACATAATGAATTCTAAAAAATAATTTGATGCTTATTTTCAACATTTAAAATGTAATAAATTGTATAATAAAATAAATTATTTATTTTTTACTATGCAAAAAGAGAAAAATATCATAAAAATAAGTTGCAAATAAAAATAACTTCTAATATATAAAATCAAAAAACAAGCTTGGCTCTTATGGACTTGTGCATGTAAAGCTTTTACCTTAAAATTAATTATTTTTTGAAACTAGTCTTTATTAAAGTAAGCTTAGTGCTAAGTTAAAAAACCCAATTTTTTATTTTTTTTAAATTAAGTTTGATACTGTAATTTTATATATTTATTATCTAAAATATAAATTATAATTCTCTCAAATCCAAAATAAGTAGCGTAGTTCATCATTCTAAACTATAAACGCATATTCTAATGTCACTTGAACCCAAGACCATTTTTAGGGTTTAAATGAGATAGGCTTAGAAATCTTTTATATAAATAATTTTCAATTTTTTAAACCCAAGCACCCAAATAGCAAGCATAAATGGGTAGCACAACAAACTTAATTCATATTCTCAATTCTACTAATACACAAGGCTCATAGGATAATAAATTTTAGAATGAAATGCATTGTTTTATTTTTTTTATTCACACATATAGTATAACACATTATAAAATATAACAAATTATTATATAAATAAGTGGTTTAAAATTTGTAAATAATTTTATTTACTTATTTCCTTTGCATTTTATCTATATTAAACAATTTTAATCTTCTATTCATTTTTAGAAATTGAACTCATTAAATTTTTTCTTCTTTCTATTCCTTTATATTATAGGAAAAACATACTTTTTAGTCTTTATAATTTTATCAGGTTTTACTTTTAGTCTCTGTAATTTTTTTTTTCAATGTTTTTAGTTCTTATAAGGACTAAAAACACTGAAAAAAATTATAGGGATCTAAAAAATAAATATCACTCAATCTTTTTAAAATTATAGGGATTAAAAATATTTAAAAAATTATTGAGACTAAAAACAAAACCTGATAAAACTATAGGAACTGATAATTATATTTTTCCTATATTATAACTGAAAGTTATATCATACATATAAAAAATCTAGTTAGCATATAAAGCTCGTTTCCTTTTCTTTCACATTTCATATTCCTACTTTCTTTCTAGTTGAAAATTCAATTGATTGTGCATTTTGCCTCTCCCTTTGTTAGCAATATAGTCCTATCATTAATTATTAATTCCACCTTTTGCCTTGCGGTTTCACGAGACAAATTGATAATTGACTTCTAAATTATCAAACAAAAAAGGACAAAAAGTAATGAGCATTTGGTTATAGATTTTAATATCAATCAATCAATTTACAACATTAAATTCATAACAAATTTAAAATGAAAACGAAAATATAGTGTTTATTTTTGTGTACTAACTGCTTCTCCTAAAATGAAAATGGGCATTTCAAAAGCCTAATAATAAATGCATATTGTTTTGTTTTCAAGCCACCTCGTCATATAAACTGTTCAAATAGGACTCGGATGACATTAATGAATATATGCAGATCAGATCATATTATTTGAAAAGTTTGTTTTGTTAAATGTTCTTCTAAAATTAAGGAAATCAAATAAAAATTTGAAGAAAGACCAACATAAAATTTCAAAACTGAAAGAAGTTGCAATTTGACGTGATATCTCAGACTAGGTCTATACATCCACTTGAAGCGTTCCTGATCTCTGAAACTCCGTCTACTTCAACCTCCACAGTTTCCAGTTTCCACCAAATTTCATTTAATGCAGACTTGATCCCAGCAGCTGTTAGTCAAGTTCAAGATTTGCCTCACCAGAGCCTTAATTTTTACTGTCTCTAGAAGGGATATGAATTCTAACTAGCTCTGTCATAACAAGTGAATATAAGATTGAAGATTGAGATCTGACATTTTATTTGTATAGGAGAAGACATCATCAACATGAATAGCATCATGCAGAATCTGATTTCTGATCTGCATCTGCAGTGGCCTGGACTTGAGCTGCGTATTGTAAGTTCCAAAGGACATCTTCAAAAGAGGGACGACATGATGGTTCCGGGGATATGCATTTGGTTGTTATAGATACTACAATTGATAATGACTCTTGAGAGCAGGTGGTCAACACTATCGGATCCACTATCTTTCTTCGACCATCTTGACTCCCAAATGATGCCTGTGTCCACAAGACCAGAACTCAACTACATTAATAGCTCACCAGAGGTAGGCAATTTTCATATGCGTTAGAGAGAATATAAGTTCCCAAAGCTTTTGAGTCTTTAGGTGATCCTAGAAACCAAGATCTGGGGACTTCCAAGGAATTTGGACTACTTAAAGGCCACAATGAGACAACAGATTAGGCTCTGCGTCATAGCAGATTCCTCACATCAATAAACCAATAAGAATTCACCAAGGTGCATCAAAGAGGACGTTGCAGGTGGTAAAACATGTTTTCACGCTCTGGTTAGAGAATCTTGGAAGTTATTTTGACAGTGAAGATAAAATTGACATAGAAACAGAACATATCCATTTGCTCAGTAAAACACAGTTTTCAAAAGCTTCTCTTTACCTTTTCAGTCAGGAAATATTCTTCTCCTTTCTCACTTGCTATGGTACCAACAAGCGATTCCAACAATATGAATCCAAAATTATAAACATCATCCTCCATTGCTGTCGTTTGGCTGAACAGGAAATTTTAATTGAATGATAAGCATGTTATACACCGAAACAAATTTACCCAAAGAAGCCAAAATTACTTATGAGAGAGGAAGATGAATCAATATGGGATCATTCTGCTGGTGATGCTTAGGTAATGGCTATGAGCCTGCTACTAATGATTTAAAATTATCATGATACTATAATGGCAGCTATGACAACAGAAAAGGTGCAGAATTGAAACTAACATTCCAACCCAACACGAGCCAAAAATTCAGCGGATAGGCATTCTGCTAGAAATAAAATAAGCTTCAATCGGCATTCATACCATGATATTGGGCTCTCTCCAGTAGCCTATATAAAAAAATAGAAAGCAACAGAGTCACTCAAGGATCAATCATAACAAATTAAGTATAAACATTGGCATTAAAGAGCTAGCAGATGTACCTCAAGCTTTTCAATTTCTTCTCTGATGAGGGACATCCCATAATCACTCAGTTTGGGAATGTTATGCTCATCAAGCAAAATATTGTTCGTCTTCAATTGGTTTCTAAAACAGCCAGGTATAACCCCAGTATGCAAGAAATGCACTGCCTTGGCAACTCCAATTAAAATTGCCAGTCTATCAGACCACTTTAGTGCCTTCTCTGGAGAAAATTCTGAATGTTATGATACAGAAAGATTAGCGGGTTGAAACCCCCAAAACAGAAAGCTATATGCGCTATGCACTGACCAAGACATTGCTCAAGGTAAACATCATACCAAGTTTCACCTTGATTATGGTTTACCCTACGTAATGCATATGAGAGGCAATGTATATAATTGAAAGAGAGAAGGAAGGCAACTTTGATGAAATTTATGCACTCATTCATTAATGGACTATACTGTTATGCTAACCTGACAGATGTGCACGATAATTCCCATTTGGTATATACTCATAAACAAGATGAAATTTGAGGGTACTGGAATGATCTTGTCCACCACTATCTATACAATGACCCAAGAGGCAAACCAAATTAGGATGATGAAGCTTTGAGAGTAAATCCAGCCGCCCTTTAAGATTCTGAATTGAGCATTTCTTTGAGAGAGACAAAGATCGTATTGCTACATAGGGTCCATTTTCCAGTTTACCTTTGTACAACTGAAATTGGGCAGCAAACTTGATTAAAAGAGGCCATGGGAAGGTCCCAGGAACTGAGAAAACTCGAGTAATTTATACAAGAAGGTACTTCTTAATTCTTATCAGCATTTTCCTTGTTCTGTTCATTCTGAAGTATGACAGCTGAAAAACCAGAAAATATCTAATTTCTTAAAGTATGACATGAGTGGCTGAATGAGAACGGTACCTTCCCTATGGAGCCTTCACCCATATAAGTTGACACGTCAAAATCTTTCGTAGCTTCCTTCAGCTCTTCAATTGAAAACACTCGACAGACTGGATTAGCTTGTGCTCCAAGCTTCACTGCTTGAGCAATGAATCCTGAAAGATATAGAAATCAAGACCTAACTATTTTTCATCTGCTGTTTTTTATCATCCGTAACTTGATTCTGAATCAAAACAGTAGACCAATATTCCTTAACCAACATACTTACTGGCACTTGCAAGGAGCTCTGAGGAAACCCCTGCTGCGGAATTATCTCTTACTCTTTTTGGCACCGCATGCCGCCCAGATGTTTTCCTCAAATGGCATCTCTTGCGACAAAAGAAAACACCAAACACAAACAGCACAAGAATGAGCACTAGTCCAGTAATAATGGCCACAACTCCAACTAATTTCAGTGCCTGGAACTTCTTCACACTGGGCTGTTTACAGTAAGACCCTCGCGTCTGGAAGCAATTCCCACCATTTTTCACGACTCGTCTATCAGACGTGCTTGCCAAGCAAGATGGAAGTCCACCAGTTAGCTTGTTACTAGAAATGTCCACATACCCAAGTTTGCTCCCACAAGTTAGTTTGTTTGAAAGGGACCCGCTCAGAATATTGCTTGCCAAATTCATGTACCTGATGTTAGGCAAAGAGAACAATGGGGATGGAGGAATCCCGCCAAGATGATTTGATGAAAGGTCTAGATGTTGAAGCAGAACCAGTTCACCGAACTGCTTGGGAATCTTTCCAGAAAATGAATTTTTACTTAGGAGAATTGTAACTACTGATTTCGGCATCAATGGTAGTTCAGAGTCTAAATGATTATCTCCTAAATTCAACACATGCAAGCCAGTGAGAGTACTCAGATCAGGCAATTTACCAGACAAGTCATTGTGAGACAAGGAAATGTCAGTAAGCGCTTTAATTTTGCATAGTGAAGAGGGGAACGAACCCTTCAAGCGGTTGCCATTCAAACTCAGAGCTTGTAGATTAGATAACGAATCAAACCAATCCGGCATAGTGCTGTTGAAATAATTGGCGTTAATGGTTAGTGCATGAAGGTTTACCATTGTAGATATTTTTGGTGGGATTGTGCCGTATAAGAAGTTTGAGCTCAAGTCCAGAATTTCAAGTGAAGATAATCGATGAATCTTATCAGGGAGTGGCCCCCAAATCCCCAATGACACCAAGCTAAGAACCTTCAAGTTGGTTAACCTGACCAATGTGGTAAAAAAAGAATCAATAGAGAAGCTCCCGGACAATGTTTGATTAGGAATCGCTAACCCGTTAAACTCTTTGACCTTCACAGGTTTATCTCCCATAATTTTAAGCTCTGTTACAGAATTGTCCTCACATTTAATGCTCATCCGTGCGGATGGAGATATGTTACAGAAGTCTCCATGATAATCTTCCCAAGTTTCCAACGAGGGAGGGTTCTCCAGATACTTCCTCAACTGTGACAGGACTCGAGTTTGAGCAGCCTGCAGTTCATAGCTGCTTTGGATGGACAAAAACCAGGACAGAACCAGAAGAAGGTGAAAGTATCTCATTGAACCGGTTTGGAACGTTAGACACACAATTTCATGAAGGTGAGGATCGAAATTAGCAGAAGTTTTGGAATATGAATGATCAAAGAAAGAAAAGACGCCAGACGGAAAATGATTAAAAATAACTACGCTTCAAATATTCCCATTTCAAAAGTAAGTTACTATGAGAAAATCCTACTCAGGAAGAAAATTTATGAGCAGCAGCTTCGAGCAATCCATCGCAACTGCTCCACACCCGCTTAAATTGGCAAAGAAAGTGGAGATTCCTCCAAGTTGATGAATGGTTATGCATGATCCAACAAGCTAATCCAAAACCCGTGAGGAAGAAAATGGAACGTGAAGAATGTAGCGAAGTTCATGAAGCAAAGAATGTGATTGTTTATCAGACAACAACAAAGAACGACACCCTGGAACGACCAAATAAGAGTCAACAAGAAAGAAATGCAGTTTAATTTTGGTCTGATAATGGATGCGCTAAATGAAGAGATGTACAAGACGGTGAGGAAGGTAGTTGAGAAGGCTGTACTAGGGACACTGACGAGGCATTTACTGCAGTGTGTATTAGTAACTATTAAGGGACCCTTTAACCATTACTGGTTCTGGTACTATTGGAGAATGACGAGCCAAGATTGGGAGCCATAGGAGAAGACGAATGAGAGACAGAGAGTGGTCGTTTTTTCTTTTTTCTTTTTGTTTTTGGAGCTGAAATGAGAGCGCGGCCTGGAAGACTGGGACGGGGGTATGTCACGGGAGACTGATAGCGACATAATATATATATATATATATATATATTATCTTTTCCTTCTTGTTAGTACTTGTTTTTTTTTTTTTGTTCAGAACTTCTTGCTTGTATTTGTTAATTGACCGTATATAACTATTTAGTTTCGTATGTAATATTTAATTACTTAAAAAGTGTTTTTTGAAATAGAAATGTGTCTGTCATATTTTTTTTAAAAAAATATTTTTCGTATACTAATTAAACGTTGTCTTCAAATTTTTGGCTGTAGATTGATTTTATGAGGAAAAAATTGCAATAAATGTCTAGATGATTGAGTAATTATGTTTACATTATATAGCGCCACCACCATTTTAAATTATAAAATATTTTTTAAGGAGATTTAACATCTCAAAATATAATATATTTTAATAAAAATAAAATTTTATTAATGATACTTTTTAATATTATCATTCTCATTATATTCTTTTTTTTCAATATCCTTTCATAAATGAAGTATTAAATGAAAGATATTTTTTAAAATTTATATTTATGTTTTGAAGAATAAAGTTATAAAGTATATTTAATGAACTTCATTATAATGTATAATTTTGTCTATAAATATCTTATAATTTAGAATGAAGTAATAGTTTCTTTCATAATCAAGCCATATTACTATTGATTACTTCTATGATCTTATTTATAAATCATTTTTAACATGTTTTGCTAGAATTAAAAAAAACCTTAAAACTTGTTAATTCTAACTAAAAATTTAAAAAGTTCTCAACTCTACTCTTATTAAATATGTACATTTTAATAATATATTTTTTCTTTTTAATACTCAATGGAAGATAAAAAGATAATTTATGATAAAAATTTAATAACGTGATTTATAAATAGAAAAAAAACAAATATTCTCTATCGAATATGGGAGAGAGGGAATATAACAATGCTCAATGTTTTAATCTGTTAGACCGTTGGTCAAACTAAAAAATACTCTCTACATTCCAAAATTGTAAGACACTTTTAAAAAAGATTTAGCGTCACAAAATATAAAACATTTTGATAAAAATAAAATTTTATTAATGATAATTTTTTAATATTATCATTCTCATATATTCTCTCTCTTTAATATTTTTTTATCAATCGAGTATTAAATGAAAAGTATTTTTAAAAGTTTATATTTTTATCTTGAAAAAGTAACGTTGTAAAGTGTATTTAATGAGCTTTATTAGTATGTAAAATTTTGTCTAAAAGTATTTTATAATTTAGGACGAAGAGAGTAGTATTTATATATACAAATATATAAATAGAATAATAATTTGTCAATAATACTTAAAATCTTGATGCTAAAAGCTAGATGCCTCGACCATTGGAGCTGGAGGCAGAGGTAAGTCAACACAAGTTTGGGATCTTGAAATAAAATGTTGGAGTTAGAGGTATGCCATTATATCACGACTCACAAGCTTTAATTTCAATGTCAAGAGTTAGATTGTTAAAGTTGGAGGCAAAGATTAGAGGAGAGATTAGAATTTGAGCCCAAAAATATCAAAGATTACATAAGGCCAGAGATTAGAGTAAAAAATTATGAATTCAAATGATTGAACTTAGTTTTTCTTTTTTTTAGGCTCCAAATTGGGTTGACCCAACTTTGATTTTCAAGATAAATTTAATTCTCTTAAAACCTCCTAAATCAACCCGATCCAAATGTTCAATGGTTGAACCAAGTTATTTTGTTAAGCATTCAACCGTCGGACCATCCTAACCAATCCGGGTTCAAAACACTAATAATGCAACCAGCACTGTTTTTTTCCCCCCCCCCCTCTCTCTCTCTCTCTCTCTCTCTCTCTCTGTAGCACTGGCTCAGTCAACTCAAGCAGCTGTCCTTAGTTACATCAATGTTCACAGTGAATGTGATAAAGAGAGTGTAAGGCTGTGAGAGTTGTTGAATTGATTTTTGCAGCATTTAATGACATCTTTACAGCGCATAATTAATCATTAACATGGAAGAGAGACATATGAATCTATAAAAACTTGTGCCCTTCTCGGATATCAATAATTAAATGTCGATATTTATCAGCTTCAATGCAAATTCCCCGTTAAGGGAAGCGCCGAAGCAGCGCTGAAAAGTTTTTGGCATAGTTAATTCCATGATGAATTGTGAATGTGAGGTAAAAATTAAGATCTTTATGCTCGAGCTTTAAAAATCACTATTATAAAATACCCTAACCAGTACCTCAACAGAATTAAAAAAAATAGTTACATTATTAAATTTACTTTAAAAAAGGAATAAACTTTTATTTTATTTATATTTAAATAAAAATTAAATTTATATTGCATTCTCTCTCGCAAATTTAAATAGGAATTATATTAATAAATATAATTAATATCTCTTAAATACCTTATAAGCACTGCAAAATACTTCACAGTTAACGTTCACTTTTTCTTTTGTTTTTTTTTTTTTCTTTTGAGGTAAACTGCGCAATGCTATGCTATGTATGATTGTTGTGGTGATAAAATTGGCACTGAAACATCAATGTCAAAATAAAATATAAACAAAACAATTTATAAAAATAACTGTGTAGACTTATCTTAGATGTCTATAAAGGACCCACTCTAATTTTGCATGAAAACGCCATCTTATTTCATCCATACATAAAATCTTGTATTTTTTTTTATTTCTCAACAATGATCATGTTTGTCACAGAAAAATTTTCCTACAAGCTCTTTTCGGAGAACTTGACTTTTCAAAATCATACCATCATCCTAAATTGCATGATAAATAATTTTGTTATGATCATACAAGTATTATGAAGTATGAATAAATAATTGAAAGCTCGACTTTTAAAAAAGCCATGCACCCCGTATCTATATCCTTTTCATGATTTATTCTGAAATGTTTTCATGCACACAACATAAGGGAAGAATAATCATGAGCTATTATATCTTTGCCAAAAGAAAAAGAAGTTATATCCTTAAATCAAGACCAACTTTAACGCTTTGACCATGTCCAACTAGAAAAATAAAAGTACTCAACCTGGCAGAAAGCAGCCTAGCTGGCAAGCATATTAAATTATAATTCATAGGCTGACACACAGTACACGAGGAAATAGGTGAATTTTGCAAACAAAAAGTTGAATAATAATATCCTGAAAATTGAACCAATAATTAAAATGGTCAAATTATTTTCAGAAATTAATGTTAAAATCAAGGGCAGACTTATCTACTGATATTTTAAATAAAATATTTCATTAAATGAATGAATGTATTGATTCAATAATTTACAAATTTAACTAATTAGATTGAATAAATTTTCAACATTATGGTAATGAATTGCTAGTGAACTGTTAAAATCACCATTCTCATATATAGTGCCATATAACTAAACTAATAATGCAAGAATAGTGAGAGAGAGAGGCAACACGATCCGGTTGCTATGCGCCAAGAAAGAGACGTGTATCTGCTGACACCGATAAAGGGAGGCTCTTGCTTTCGAAGAGATCATGTTAGGTGTCATCACTGAAATCCCAGCTTCTATATATTTACTTGGAAGACGACTTCAATTTGTCTAGTGGAGTCCCACGACATTGGTCACTGTGCGAAATAATGCCCTGCGCAGGAAATAAGACCAAAGATGACGTTGACATCTAGGAAGAAGGATAGGATAGGAATTAGGACCACTTTAATGTGTCCCTTCCATGGATTGCCTTCACGCACAGTCAATGAACCATGTGATGATGCATCAGAATATGGGTAAAAAAAATGCAAGGGGTTTGAACACCAAAATAGAAATTTACATGTGTTGACCATATATATATATATATGTATGTATGTAGCATGACCTTTAATTTCTGCAGTGAATGAGGAGAACATGTGGCCACAGTTGGTTTTTCTTTTTGCCTGGTTTTACTTTTATGAGGAGGCGAAGAGGGTTAAAGTCTCGTGTGTGCCATTGATATGTCAGTTTCAAAAGTCACCAATGAATAGTGAAATCAACCATTGTCGGTTAAGTTTATTCATTCGAATGACTACATGATTTATGTTTTATCTTGTACGTACATTTCATATATTTGTGAAGAATTAAAGTCGGTGCCGGATGAGCTTATCAACCCAAGGTAAACTAACAGTGAAGAATATGGAATCTCAGCTGCCTAGCCGTTCATAGACGCAGAGCAAAGTAGCTTAGGCTTGAACAGAGACTTGTTTTTCAAAGACCAAGTTCCCTTTCTTCTTTTGCTTTGCTTAATTCAATCATTGGGTTGTATAGAAGAGAAGCCATCCAAAGCGCCATCTTTTGTCGGAGCAACTCCATATATAAAAATTTATATTATCTCAAGCGTAAAGTATCTATTTGTTGCTTTTTATTTAGATATTCCACGTTTCTTTATTATCAGTTTCTCAATTCAAACATGAAATATATTATTATCATTAACACTGTAGATGCAAGTTCATGCCTTGCTACCAAAGCTCATGGATAGATAATTTCTGTGTACTTCTGCAAACCCCCTTTTGACCTATCCTTATACAAGTGAAAACTCACAAGTCGTAACCCAATTAACCTAAAATTTCTTCTATAAATAATGATAAATGCATGATTTTTTTTAAGAATATCCAGATAAATTCATATTATTATTTTATTGTTAAAAGGTTAGTGTTTACCTGATTTTAATCAAAGACGCTAATATTACGGATATATGATATTTTATACTCAAAATTCTTTTGTTTGAAAGGTATTGAAAATAAATGACATGACACGATTTAGGAAGGCAGATGGCATGTCCTGATTTCTTTATTTTTTATTTCCGAAATACAAGGCAAGACAAGCTTGAACAAAAAGACATAAAACACTAGGAATTCATATCAGCTGCAACCAAGTTAATGCAATTCGCAGGGCAAGTCCAAACTAAGATACTATCTATTCTCGCTCCATGAGCCGTTTGTGTCATTTGATCTGCATATCTGATGGTATCCCTCAAAATACGCCAAACAGCCACATCTCATCCATTGCACTCTCGCCAATTTACTTTATTAATCACTTTTTTAAAAAGTAAAGTAATTTACTTTATAAGTCATTAAATTAATAATAATATTTTATTTCAAATAAAATATTTAAACTATTTTGAGAGAAACAAAAAAATTATATAATTTATTTATTTTTTAAAAATTATATTTATAATTTTATTAAATTATATTCTTTATTTTTTGTAATATTAATATTGATACAGTCGATAAAAATAATTTTAATAATTTATAAATAAAATTAAGGGAGAATATAATATCTTTAATCTCTTGAACTTTATGTTTAAGCGGGTGGCAGGGTCTACAATTCCTAAATATAAGATTTCAGGCCTCAAGAGAATCAGAATACATCACTAGTCACGCTCAGCAAGTCCTGATATCTAAATTCTACGGGCTCATATGTTGTCAGTGATGCTCTGTTCTAGACGTTACAGCGGAATGCTTTCGAGAGTTTAATACTAAGGTTAGGGTCAACTTAAATTGCAGGTCGGCATCAGAGCAGCATAGTAATGAAGCAGTCACCACACCAAGGTTCGTTAAAAAGTGCATCAGAAGAGGACAAAGAGCCAGATTCATTTCCCTTTTATTTTTTGCTTTCTTTGGAAGGGAGGAGATTAAAATCTAAAAATAGTGATGGGCCCGTCCTGGTCTTCTTTCTTCTTTTTTCGGCCCTCTTGTTCTGCGTAGAAGATTCTCCCTGCATAAGAATTCCACTTTCTTGCCCCAAAACAGCATGAGAATGGCCGCAGAGTGCAAGGATGACAGTTCTGACCTTGTCTATTAAAGCTGAAATAAAGAAATAATACAACAGTACGGAAAATAGTATGACACCTAGCATTACAATAGCAATCATTTACTAGTCACTAGGCACTGCGTCTTCTGAAGCGGGGTTCAGGTAGGAAATTACAAGATCAGCTGCTTTGCATCCCGAAGCAATTGCTTTGCCCACCGAGAGTCCACCTTTGTGGTTACCTACCACATGAAAAATTCACAAGTTCAAAACTTCTTGAATAAAAAGCATTCCAGCTTGCTAAAAGAAATTTCTTCTGTTCTTCGCACATGTTCTTCGACCAAGGCCGCTTATATAACATTCTCAATCAAATGATTATCCAAGGCTTTGTTTTGAGCAGTTAACCTGCATAGAAAAATCCGGGAAGATCCTTTTCCAATTTGTCAATTGCTTCTAAAACTGACCCATAGTTATGCCCATACAGAGGAAATGCTTTGCTCCAATAGAAATGGCTGCCATTGAGCACAATTAGAGTCATAAGATAAAGAATAATTAGACTACGGAGAAGTAGCGTGGATGCTGCTGAGAACAAGAACTACGGGAAAAAGAATTAAATGCCGTACTTGACTAAAGTGGGTTCCCCCTCTGCTCCCAACAACTTTCTCAAGTCAGAGGCAACAACCTGCTTTAGCTCGTCACTGCAGCAAAGCAAACAAAGCCAGTGGGTAAAGAAAGGGAGAGAAAATAAAAAGGTCATTACACTAGAAAAATAAAAAATAAATAAAAAGTTCATCATAAGAGGAATATGTCTCGTTTCACAAAGTATCCAGGGAAATTACTTCCTCATTCCACTAAAAGATTTTCAAATTACAAAATTCTCCTTTCTGTCTTAAAAAATTACATTTTCATTCCCTGAAATCAAAAGATTGGCTACATTGTGTTCTATAACAAAAGATAAGATGCAATTACACAAATTTTAACCAGGAGACTCATTTTTTACTTATATAATGTACCCACTATCAAATATGCAAATGTCAATTTAGAAGAAAAAACAGCATAAAATAAATAAAAATTGTAAAGGTAATTCTCTTAATAAATTTCATTTTAATATAAAAGAAATAAATATGATTGTTGAAGGTGCTTTGGTCATGTTTTGGCTTTAATGGTAGAAGAAAACGTAGTATAACTTAGGCATATTTATCCAAATATATGTAAGTAAAACTGCAGTAAAATTACGTTGAAGCGTGGGCCAGTTCCCTGTTTCTACTTCCCCCAATGAAGGTTGTATAAAGATATAAATTATTGGGCGCACGATCAGGAAACATCATAGAGGAAAAGAGTGTACCTGCGGAGCATAATACATTCAGCAGCTAAATCAGAAAATAATTTTAAGTTATTTCTACTTCATTGGAAAATTGACTAACGATGCCCTACCAAGGGTTTTTAAACCATGTCGTTGTTCATTAGAAGGAACAAGAACCCCAAAACCCTCCAAGGGTCTCTTAACGTTCTCCCTTTTAAAGGTGGTAATTATGACAGATAGTGGCAGATAGGTCACCTGCAATAAGAGTATGTGAAACATTGTTATAAAAAACTGGGACTAACAAAAGGCATAGCCAACTTTGAAAGACGTGTTCTCTTGCCGCCTGTTTGGTTGGAGGAGTGGGAATGGGAGAAGACCCCTTTGCCAAACAAGGGGAGGGGAGGTGACAAAGTGGAGGGGAGCCTCTCCTCCAAAACCTCCACCTCTCCTTTCACTCCCCCCTCTCCTCCATTAAAATCCCTCCCCTCCCCTCCAACCAAATATAATGTTAAGGATGAGTTGTGCTAAACTCCAACTTATGCTCAAAAACAACCTTCCACATTGACAAACTGCTGGCAAAGCAGCAAAGCCACAAGCTTTCATTGAGAGCTCTTAAAAGAAGTAATTATGCAAGCATAAGATACGAAATCGCCTGATGCATGTCAAAATTAACGAGTAAAATGCATAAACAGAAGTCCAAGTCAAGTTGAAATGAAGTATACCTCAGGCAGAAAATCAAGTGGAAAGGGGTTTCCCCTGTTTCTAATCTTCATGTCTTTAACATTAGATAGAGGAGCCTGTGGCAATACAAAAACCGATGTCAGAAATTGATTATCCAAAAAACAATTTGTGGTGAGAATGAACTTAGTTGCCAATGAAACAAGGTCCTTATCCCACTTCTAGAAAATGAAAAACGGTAGCAGAAAAACTAATGACCAAATACAGCTGCTTATAAGTCACAGGAGGTTGTATTATTCACAAGTCGTTATATATTGTATGTTTTTAAAACCAATATTCAGGTCCCACCAATTGAGATTCTAACAGAAATATACCATGGTTTTTGTCAAAGTTCTCAAGAATACCACAATACAAATTATAAATTCCAAACAATGAGAAATATCATTTCACTTTATAATATACTCTAATGATTCACAATTTCAGGAACATCTTTCAGCACAAACAATTTAACCAATGGCAGAGACGCATAATAAGGTGTTCAGCTTTAACGTTCAACAAGTAATATCCTAGAACTTAGGTGTGTTGGACTAAAATTTTATTGGAGTATCCTGGAGTAAGCTGCAGTTTGCAGGAAATACTTCTGTCTAAGTTCAGACTACTCTTAACAGCTGCAACACTATCACACATCCATGTCATTTCCTGATTTTCCTTTAATTTCATACTTACATCCTTTTGAGCAAGTTAATAGACACTTATACAAAATGTGCTGTATCTATTTTATTAAGAGTAGGGGGAAGGGAAAAATAAGGAAAATATACTAACCGTCATAATTACAGCATCTACAACATGTGCGTCCGGGTTAGAAGAACAAGTAATTGACCAATTGTCTGACGAGGAACTTCCATCATGACAGTAAGATAATGACAAAACCTTTGCATTCAGTTTGAGGTTATCTTTGCCAAGCTCTTTTGACAGTGTATCAGTTAGTGTCTGCACTGGATACATCAGCGAAATCATATGCAAGCTGATGTATTAGGGGCATAAATAGCAAGTTCATACAGCCCATGTACCACTTCAGCATTAAAATATAGGCATCTTAACAGGAAATTTGCACAAAGATTCGATACCTGCATGCCACCATAAAAAGAAAATGAACCCCTTTTAGGTTTCTTGTTTCTCAATGCACCCTTAGCTCCTCTGTTTTTTTCCCTTTTGATTGATCGCAAAGCCCCAGCTATGATAGAGCCAAACCTAAAAAAAATGAATTTCTATCAAGACCAAATCTATTTTCACTTACCAAAAGATCCACACAGCTCCAATACTCAAACTTCAACCACTTATAACCGTAAGGCTTTAGTAACAACCAACGCTCTTATCTGGCATTCAAAAATTGGAATACCCACGGACAATGATGCAATTTTGTGAAGCTTAACAAATGATCAAGCTTATTATAAATGCAAAATCCAATTAGAGAAAATTTGTTTTAAGAAAAATATCAATTATCATATAAATCTATTTACTTTTGCTGGCCAACTCATCTAAATTTATTTACAAGCACTAGGAAAAAAGTTGCAAAACATTACCTTTTCTCTAAGCCCCATAGCTCCGGAAAAGAATAGTGCATCTGATTGAAGTACAAGAAAGAAAATAATCAAAGACGAGATCTAGGCAATCAGAAGTACTAACTAGCTGACAAAATATAAAAATAATATATTTTGAAGAAACCTAGACTAGTAGAATATTATTATTCTAGGAGGGAATAGGTTTTCTTGTATTATTTTAAAATGTTATTTCCTTTGTGTTATTTTAATAGTTTGTAAAAGGAAATCAGAAAATTGGCTTTATATGGATGAGTGATTAAGGTTTCCTTAATAGGTAGGCAACTTTAGTTTAAATAGACTAGGCTTTGCTTTTGTAAGAGGACTTTTGCTGAATGAACGAATACTATGGGTTAATTTCTGAAAGCTCCCTCTCCCTCTTCGTTCTGCCTGCCTCCCTCTTGCCCCCACTGTTCTGTCATTATTTCTTCCCTCTCCCTCTGTTTCAGATTTCCACCTAATCCCTCCTTCCCTGTTTTTCATTCTCCTCCGTCTCCTTTTCAGTTTTGCATCCCTCTTCTCCTTCCCCTCTTTCTCAATTTCTGTCTCTTCTCCCATCTCTCCCTCTATTTGAACCTATACAAGTATGTGTTGCATCAATTTGGTATCAGAGCTTGGCTCTGAGCACTCATAGGCTATTCCCGCTAATCAGAGAATGAAGAAACTCATTGGAAACATTCCCTTTCACTTTGTTTCACACTGCCTGAACCAAAACGCATACTTCCTAACGTAGGATCAAAAAACGACCACCATCATCGTGCTTGGAAGGAAAAATTTGGCTAGATAACTGAGACCCACTACCATTTGCCACCACACCTGCCTCCACACATTAGTGGAGTGCTCTGCACATGGGCTTCCTGTGGCCCACATGCCAGTGACATCCATTACACATGACTTCATGCGTTGTCCTTCCAAAAGCCTCCTGAACCTGTTTTTTGCACTTTTTGAGGTGTTTAGCAAGGTTTCCTTTGTTGTGATCAATTTAGGAGAGCTAACTAATCATTTAAAGCTTAATTGGAAAAAAAGTTTCATCTTTTAGGCTCTAAAGCTACTTTGTAAGGCTGATAACCCTCTAAAAACCTGTTAGTTCATTGTTTTTTTTTTTTAAATGTTGTTTGGCATAGTTCCTTCTATTCAAACCTATCTTATGAGCAAGAAATCATTTGTGAGAGTTTAGGTTGTGTTTATTATGTCCCAAATTACTAATAGTTACCTTAAGGAATCTCGTAAGGCTCATAACGAAGATGGGAAACAAAAAATTCAAGAGTTCAAGGAATATATGAATAGTAAGGTTGATGAAATCTTAAGAACTCTCAAATGTGTGCATGAACAACGTGCTATGGGAAAAACTTTGTCAAGACCTAGAGAGGATCGTGATTATTTTGTGGCACTAGAAAAAAGTATCATCATCAAAAAGCCTTCACCTATGTCAATTACACAAAAACAGGGATGCTAACAGCATTAATGGTCTTGAAATTGGAAGCTTAGCTATGGAAGAAGTTAAGGCAATAACTGAGGCCAGAACCAATGTTATTAAGAAATAAGAAGAGATTGATTTAGAAGATATCTCCATGAAATATGAAGGCATGAGTCTTGAATTGAATCAAGGTTTGAAATTGGTGGCCAAAGATCTTGAGTCACGGGCCTTAGAGATTCATCAAGTTAATGATCTTGATAAGAGGAGTGTTCAACTTTGTTAGATTCCTACTTACAATAATCTATGTGCTACACCATTTGCTGCAAAAGTTGTTTTTGTTAAGAAAGAACACATTGTTTTTCCCATTTGATAACAACATCCACAACTACCTTGTTTATTGAGAAGGTTTTCCAAATAACTAGCATCACATTGCTTACTCTACACATGGTCTCATTTTCCACTACCTTTTGTGTTGGAAAGGATCTCCAAATTAGTTGCTACCAGGAGGAATTCCCTGCATTGCACTCTTGTGGAGTTACATCAACTTTTTTACTCTCCAAAGGACAGTTCCATCAAGCAGGGGAGAAATGATGAAATATAGGAATAATATATTTTGAAAAAACCTAGACTAGTAGAATATTATTATTCTAGGAGGGAATAGGTTTTCTTGTATTATTTTAATATGTTATTTCCTTTGTGTTATTTTAATATTTTGTAAAAGGAAATCTGAAAATTGGCTTTGTATATGGATGAGTGATTAAGGTTTCCTTAATAGGTAGGCAACTTTAGTTTAAATAGACTAGGCTTTGCTTTTGTAAGAGGACTTTTGCTGAATGAACGAATACTATGGGTTAATTTCTGAAAGCTCCCTCTCCCTCTTCGTTCTGCCTGCCTCCCTCTTGCCCCCACTGTTCTGTCATTATTTTCTTCCCTCTCGCTCCCTGTTTCAAATTTCCCCCTAATCTCTCCTTCCCTGTTTCTCCTCCTTCGTCTCCTTTTCAGTTCTGCATCCCTCTTCTCCTCCCTCTCTTTCTCTGTTTCTGTCTCTTCTCCCATCTCTCCCTCTATCTGAATCTATACAAGTGTGTGCTGCATCACAAGCACCAGCAGTTTCAAGTCACAACTTAAGTATATGCAAAATTCCGTAACTGATTTAATTAGCTTGAAAATATAACCAATTCAAGAAATTCTTGTGACTAGGAGCTTGGGGCAGGCATCAAATGGCGTAGCAAGAACAAAGTGCAAGATATAGAAGAACAAAATACAGAATATAGGTTTGAGCATAAAATTTTGGAAACCATTTGGGCTGAAAAATTGTTCAGACGTCAAACAATTTGTTTAAAAAAATTTAAGTGACTGTGAAAATCAAATTGTCAAAGCCAACTCTACAGAACCTAGTTGGCTCTTGGAGTTCAGCAAGCACAACGTAAGATGTCGTGAATTTTCAGATTTTATCAAGTCCCAAAAAACATGTGTCAAGCTTATCAGAAAAGCTTTTATGGTCAGATGATGGTGAACATATTGTAATGATTATCCACTCTGAATACAACCAACATTGATCTTAACAAGAAAAATTACATGCACAACATATAATAGAAGTATTTCAAAACTGAGAGCACTACTCACAGAAAGAGATTCAGGATCTCCAGCACTTGTACCCGCAACAAAAGGATCAATAAGATAGTCCACGACCTTGAAATTAATAACAATATTTATTATTATAAATAAATAAATAAAATTTCAATTCAAAGAATTCCTCTTTTGACTCTGCTGCGAGAAGGATGTTCTGTGCAGTATCAACAATATTGAACATGAATAGAGATTCCAAACGATTCAGTATTACAATATGGCACATACCTCTTGGCCAAAATGACGTTGAAAGAAACTACCAACACTGCCAGAAAGAGAACATCAAGATACAAAACTGTTTTTAAGTTTTTGTCATGCAATAAGAAAATAAAAATGTCGTAAAATTCTTTAGATATATGATTCCATTGAATGAGGTTTACCATACCTTTCTTCTGTATGTTCATCGTGCACATAAGCTGGATCAACCTTTTTCCACATAAATGGTTCAAAAATAATCCGAAACTGCAAAGATAGAAAATGGGAAAACTTTTACAAGTAATCTAGATAAACGAAGACCTTTATGTGCTTTATTTAGAACAGGTAACAAATATCACACAGAAATGAGGGGGGAAGATGTAACAGAGTGAAGCACAACTTTTTATTAGCCTTCCAATTAAATTACTCTCTCATACAAAGATGCGAGCATCTTATGCAAAATCCTATGTTGCTGCACACTACAATCCTATTTCTGACAGTCTCTGCATATTCACACACAAAAACTAGCTTTTGCTGTGAGAAGTCAGAGAGATGAGAAGCATGAAGTGACCCAAAAACATTTTTTTCCTGAAACAAACCTTTGATTGTGAAGAAAGTAGTTTGCTTGTCAGTAGCGCAACAGGACTTGTTGGTACCTGATGTACAAATTTAACCAGGCCATGATTATTACTGAACAAAAATTGCTATAATTGTAAAGAATAAAAATTTAAGTTCAAACATTCAAAAGCAGAGAAACAAAAACAACAGTTACAAAACATATAGGCAAAACATACTAGAAGGGGCGTGCCATTTCTCACAATATAGCGCTTATGCTGTGAAATTGGCTGTAACATTAAACAGAAATCAATCTTGATCAGTCCGGGATATCACAGTAAAACTAAAATTAAAGCACAGCCTCCTGATAGATCAACCATAACTATTCTCAAACTTTCAGTTTCTATAACAAAAGTTACATCTACATTACAATTATATGAACCTAGGACTCTCCAATTAAATATTAAGAAAATCCTTGAATATTAAATACAATAACAATAATAAGCCTTATCCCACTAAAATTAGCTATATGAGTCACATGACATCAATAAGTTCTATCAACAATGTTGTTCCAAATTATCATTCATCATGAGATCACATTCTATAATTTCATTAAGAGATATTAAATGAAAGTAGATATCTTTCTAGTATCTGATAGCATGGTCTTGGACACATAACAATCTAGGTAATATAGAGATCCTTACAAATTGCTGCTTTTCTTCAAGCCCAAGATCATTGATCAAAGCTTTGGCCTCCATTTCACTCTCAGTCTGCACCAATTGAACAAAACTTAAGAGCAAACATCATGCAGCATTTATTGTTAACAATTCACAGCAAGAACGTCATCCATTAGAAGCATGTGTGGAACAAATTCAAACTTTTATGAAACTATCTCCTCAAGAGTGGAGAAGAACTTCAGAATAAAGTGCACATCAGTAACCAATAATGAAATTACAAATGGTTTAATATTTCAGAGAACAAGTCCTCAAGCAATAATCTGTAGACATGTAACAAACCACACCATTAGTTTTTTTCATAAATTGTTATCCATTTACACTTTTATATCTAAAGTGCACTAAGCATCTTAAAGGACCTAAATCCATATGCAACTGGTAAATTTTACCATTGTATTTGCGCCCTCATCCCAGATTAGGCCATCCTGTGAAACACTTCTCAACTTCCCTCCGGCTCTTTCTTGAGCTTCAAATACAGTGACATCCAGCCCGTGTGATTTCAGTTTGTAAGCCGCTGCAAGCCCACTTGGTGTCCCAATACAAAATTGGCCAGAGTTATGTCATGAATATTCAAAATCTGAGATAAATAGATGCCTGGGCAAAATGACATGATGATGTTTTCCAATAAAATTGACAGAGATAAGCAATTATGGTAGTAGAAATGTGCACAAGGTTCTCAGAGAGGGTTTGGTCAAATTTATGATACGACCAATCATATTAATTTATCCAAACAGGAAAGGTGAAACAACTCAAAGCTCTATAAATCGATTCATATAATTTGATGAATAATTGGAGCAAACAGTGGGATATTTTCTATAAACACAAGTAAAAGAACATATCAAAATTAGTTGAGAAATATTTATATTCCTGGTTATCAATAAAATGTGCAGTCGTGCTGCAAAGATGGTTTCATAGTTCCCTTTCTCATACTCTCAATCCATCATAACTAGGAGAAAGTTAATCCAGGAGGATCATGTCTTCATGTATTGATAGGTTCTTGGTCACTTCTGCCTGTTTTGGTCCAAGAGGCATTTGCTTGCCCTGTGTCTGATCATTTTCTCATTCTCCTAGTCTAATGGGGTTAAGTAATGCCAACTCCATTCCAGTTTGAAGATACGAATCTTCAACATCACTCCTTCTTTAATCAAGACAACTATACAATTTATGAATGATGCTTTGAACCAGGAAAAGATTTAAGCCAAATTACCTTACACCAGCGCCAACAACAGCGACTCTTTTCATAGATTCTGCAAAAGCCACAAGACCACAAGATCATAAAGTAATTCTTTCCTTCTTCCATAGACTCTAGGACTTGTTTAATCCTAAAAAGACTTTCAAAATTCAAACAACCACCACACAATAAGTCTGGAGCAAACCGCTGGAGCTAAATTCCAAGCCATAAATTTGACATCTAACCGATGCGAGGTAAATTTTGGAAAACGTCTTGTCAAGTATCAATTTCTAAGTTATAAACCTCGAATTGTCAAACATTGTCTAAATTACCATTAGTTGACTAAAGAACTAAACAGAATATGAACCTGAATGCATTTGAGAGTAAACAAAACTTCAAGATAAATTGATTGGGCTGAAAATCTATAATATAAAATAACTCACTAGACTTATCATCTTTTGCAGCGGACGCCATTTCTGTGTTTCTTCGTCGTGTGCTGGAGCTGCTGACACTGGAAGGCCGGTATGGGTTCAGTTTAGGCGGGGCTTGGAGGTGGGGGATGCGGTGAACACTTGATGAGACGCCCGAAACCATGTCGTTTTTAGTCACCCATCATTTTATCGAACTTAGCTTTCAGAGCAGCTTGAAGTCTGGATTACATGTTACTAAATTGTTTTGCCAAGGGAACGTAGATGGCAAGATTAATGTTCAGAAAGAAATAAAAAATTAGTAAAAAAAGATAATTACGAGATTTAAATTAGTATATAATAATTATATTATTTATGTCATTTTCTTTTATAATATATACTATATAGTAAAATACATTAATATTTAGCTATTAAGATCGATGCATTAATATACTCACAGAGCACATTGATTTGATTTGGCAGTAATCGCGCTGTTCCCTAGCTATTAGCTTTCACCTATTACCCTTTTTCTTTTTCTTTTTCTTTTTCTTTTTTTTTCATTCAATTGTTTATTCGTTGGATTGGACCCAAGGAATGGCCTTAGACATAATCATATTTAGCTCCGTATTTTTACTATTTGTATAAAATTATTATCAATTGGACATACATTTTTTCGACAAATTAACATTCCCTCTTTCATTTCATATATTCATGCATTTATCAGATGGTGGGTGAATTTGTATTTTACTTGATATTTGATTTCATATAAGTGACACTAATGGATAATAAGTTTATCATGAATTTTATATTATATATAAATGTAAATAATTAATTATTCACGCGCATCACAATGCGGGCACCATGAAAAAAATTTTATATGCATTGGCTCCCTTAGCTTAATAAAAAATCGTACTGATTTTTATAACAAGAAAAAATAGATGTCAGGGGTAAGTGGTTAAAAGAAAAATCATGAATTAAAACACTTTGCCTCTTGAGATATGTTTAAAGCTGAGGTGCCTTATTTAATGAAGAAAACCAAGGCGCATGTGTAACTCTGCCGATTCTTCAAAATTAATCCTCCAATATGCTGATAATAAGTTTGATAAAAAGTGATATTGTTTATAATCATAAATAAATAGTAGAGTTCAATGCAGTTTCATTTTTTTTTTTATTGCACAACAGTTTGTAAAAGGAAGTGATTTTTTTTTTCTTTCCAATGGCTCATTAAGTGATTCAATCCATCGTTCAAGATAATTTCATCAATGTGAACTATTTCGTATATTGGATGATGCTCTGTTGATTCAAACTCTTTGTGATATTGTGAGAGGATTTGCATATCGAATAATGTTTAAATTTGTTGATTTAAACAATCTTTTGATGTCAAAAAGGGGGGCAAAAATCTAATGTGTTTATTGGCTTAGCTGCGCCTTTTTGTGAATTTGTGATGGTTAATGAAATGAAGGGCGTTATTCGGAGAATGTGGTGTACTTGTAACTTGGTTGAGTATCTCTAACTATTAACTGCCTTGAACCACTTATTTGTTGATTTAAATTTATTTTTGGATCCCAGTAGTTTATTTATATTTAATTATTTATTTCAGGTATCTTTATATAAATTGTTTTTAACATATTTTAACATAACAAATAAAAATTTAGATTTTATTAACTTTGTCCAAAAAATTTAACAAAATTTATATTTTTTTGATATATTTATATATTTTAGTAACATGATTTTTATTGTTAACATTTAATCAAAGGCAGAGAAGAAAACTTGTAATAAATTTTTAATGACATATTGTAGCTTATAAATATGATAAACAAATATTTTCTGTTTGTAGGAGGGAATAAGTGTTATTCATTTCAACTCCATAATATCTCAAAAAGAATTACTACAATAATTGTGCAGCCCTTTGTCTCAAATTATTAGATAGTTTTAGATAAAATCTCACTTATCAATAAATTTTATTAAATATACTTAATAAGCTTATTTTTTTAAAATAAAAATATAAACTTCTCAAAATATCCATAATTTAATATATTAAAAAAAGAAGTGATGGAAATTAATTATAGAAAGAAAAAGGGTAATACTGAAATTGGTGCATTTAGTGAAATCTTAATCTACTCAAAATTTCTTATATTTTAAAATAAAAAAACTCTTTTAAAAATGTTATATAATTTAGAATAAAAAGAGTAATAATAATAATAATAAAAAGCATTACAATTCTCACAATCATTGAATTCTCTTGATTGGTAACGTCAAGGAGCGATGTAAACCGCAGATTCTACACCATGCCTTCGATCCCCCCCTCCTATGCACCATTGTCACCTCCCTCTTATTCATCGATCATGCCACCTTTCCCTCAAACCCTACCCCATAAATTGCAAACAACATTCAACAGACACACAAAATCAAGAACCCTAATTCCAAGATACATGTCATCTGTACAACCTCCCTTCCAACCTACATTGAAGAATGAAGTGTTGGAAACTAAAGCACTAAGGCACTCATAGAGTCAGAAATAAAGGTTAAACCTAAAAGGTCGCCTGTTTAAACCCATTTTTATAAGGGCTTGAGTTTAAAAAAATAATATTTTTTAAGAAAATCAAGTTTTTAAGCCCGGCCTTGATAAAATGAGTTCGGGCAAGCCTTTTAGGCCCTTTTATTTTTCCTTTAAAAAATAAAATATTTTTAATTTTTAAATTAAATTTAAACTTTAAAATATAAGTGTATACTTTAAAATTAAATTTTTTATTATTTATTTTTAATTTTTAAATATTATAATTTATATTTTTAAAAAATATATGAAATATTATAATTAAAAATTTTAATTTTTAAAAATTTTTAAAAATAAAAAATAATAATATGGGCTTATAGACTTGGCCCTAAGCCCTTTGTATAAAGGTCAAACTTTAAAAAATAAAATATTTTAAAAAAATTAGGTTTGAAGATTGAGCTTATATGGATCAAGTCTATCTGTTTTACAACTCTAAGCACTCACAAAATAGAAAGACAGATCAAGGCGAAAAGGCAGGAACTGCATTGTCATATAGCTTGACCTTTTTTGTCATATTTTTTTACGACAAAAAAGTGATAGGGCATCGTATTACAATGAACGAATGGATTGATTTAGTTGATGGCCGTGGGACAGCAATTATAGTGGATATGACAAAAGATTTGCTTGCTCTCAAGCCTGAAGGACAAATCTAGAATAAGAAATTATCACAGTTAGCTCAGTTTCTTACAAGCGAGTTGGTTAAGAAGTGGGTTAGATTCTTTTTTTTTTTTTTTTTTGTTTTGGGACAAGGCTCGCGAAATAGATAGCATATGTTATATCAAGGATGAATGACGTCTCTATATTAATTTAAGACATTAAAAAAGCATATATATTAGTAGTAGATTATAAATAAGCATTTGAATATGTCAACTGTAATGATAAATGTAGCGGGGAAAAAAATAAGCAAATACGTCTGGGCCACTTGAAACTTGAAAGTATTGGCACAGTGGCCCATGGTTTTGGAAATCGGGCAATTCATCATCTTGTAATCACGTTTACGCCTTAAACTAAATGTGATTGCAGTAAAGGAGTTGAAGTGTGCGGGTCGACATGTCTACTAATAATTTTCGCACACACTTGAAGAATGCCCGCCCTGAGTAACAATGAGTGATTTCAATAATTTTTTTTAATGTATATATGTGACTACCTAATAAGTACTATCTAACAGCCATGCTTAAATGTTATCTAGCGTACTTGAAGATAAAAATTTTAATGAATTTTTTTTATTTATGGAACTTAAATAATATGTTTATAAAAAATGAAATCCGTCTAGTGCCATTGGTGGTTTAATACTTTAATTCAAATTTGATTGGGAAAAGTGAGGGCACGAAAAGTGCCCCGGGGGGGGGGATACCATTGGTTGGTGGTTTAAGAAATTGAAATTGTAGAGAGAGAATGAAGAGAGATTGTTGAGTAAGGGAAGGAAAGTGGGGAAATGGAGAGGGTGGGCATAGATCGTGTCCCCGTCGTGGAAGACAATGAGGGGTGATGGTTGTTAGCATCACAAGTTGACTTTAACACTTGGCAACATGTAATTGAGTGCATTTTAAATCCACTCTCTAACATACCCACTCCCAGTAACTTCCAATTTACAAGCGTATCTTGAAAAAGTTTAAGGGAGAATCACACTAAAAGTTTTAAAAAAATAAAACATTATACATCATGTTTAAGGGCTCTTGTTTCAATTTTTATTGACAGTAAAAATATAATTTTATTTTTATATAATTTAAAAACTCAAATCATATATAATAAAATATTTACGGATATATAAAATAATATCCATATGTGTTTTGTTAATTTATAAATTAAAATATACATTACACAAAACATACATAACACGATGTCTATAGATGCACAACACGATGTTCATGTGTATCCACACATGGATATTTAGTTGAGAATGCATAAACATTGTGTTGTGCATCTATGAACATTGTGTTGTATATTAGTTGCGTCGCTTGTACATTTTATTAAACCTGTTAATCAATTAGACACGCATGGACATTGTGTTATGCACTGATTGACATTATGTTGTACATGATCTGAGTTTTTAAATTATATAAGGACAAATTTGTATTTTTGCTCAAAAAAAATTACAACAATGGCTCTTAGGTCTACAATAACATAATCTATTGGGCCTACAGTGCAAACTTTTACTTTTTTAAGGCTTTTAGTGTAATTCCTCCAAAGTTTAATTATAATATTTTAAATAATTATAAAATTCTTTTATATTCCTATGATAAAAAATATTTTGCATTTTTTGAGAGGTTTGATTAAAAAATATCAAGCATTCTTAGTATTTTAAGATAAAATTAATGTGTGTTTGTTTCAGAAAAATGTCTTTAATAAATAAATCATTCTATATTTATTTTTAAGTGAAACATTCTATTAAATAAAAATAAATATAAAAAAAATTATATTAATTAAAAATAGTTAACTAATTTATTATTTTTTAATTGAGGGAGGGAGTATTTACTTTTTATCAACAAAATTAACATTTTCTTCTAAATATTCTCTTACTCTATTCATTCATTTTCAAAGCAACCTGATCTGCTCCTCTTATTATTGTATGTTACTCATTATGTTTTGGGATAATTAACCTATTGGATCAAAAAAAATTTGTGTTCAAAAATTATGGATTAACTTTTTAAAAATTTAGAAGTATGGCCAATTTACATTGATATATAAGAGATTTAT